TCGCCCGTATTGTAGAGACGGTTTCTCGGCAATTGTTGAAAGCTTCCGCTTGGTCAGCTTTTTTCGTTGATTCCGTCAAATTGTTGCTTGTCCTGGTTGTTGTCCGTTGATCTGGTCCGTTTCAGAAGGTTAATTCAAGTCAGTTTTGTCACCATTTATAGCATATGTATTGAGAAAACTCTGTTTGATTTTATTCTCAGATTTTCACGATACACAGAATATAAATCTTATAACATTTATCCCTACTAGCTTTGAATGGTTTACATCGTCTCCCCTCTTTTGAAAGATATCGGAGTCGTATTTATACGTTGATCATAAATCCAATTAAATGCTGTAAACGTGAGCTCGTGATTCACGTTATAAACAGAAATTCCTATTATCTCAATAAGGGTAATTATGTAGCCTACATCGTACGGATGGGAACTTAGATATAATTATTTCAATCAGTGCCAAAGGTCTTGAGAATATAGATTTTAATTTGATAATGACTGGATGGAACCTGTTATGTTCTTAAAACTGGTGTAATTTAATTCCTACGAAAGTCTTTGTTCGAATTTTGGGAAAAATTAACTTTGTCATGATGATTTCAACATGAAATGGGGTACATTTGGGGGTTAGTTGCTATAGTATAACTTAATTTTCATTACCAGTATGCCTGATGGGGAGCATCAGTTTAATTGCAGAAATCAAAATACGCTACGCTAAAACTACGCTAAAATTACTGATTTAGCTATCAGTCGTCCACCTGTAAGCGGCACGTGGTTAGATAATTTTTCAATATAATAGATGGTTTATAAATTTGAAAAAATGAAAAAAATTTCAATAGTAAAGTAGGATATAAGAAGAATTTTTTAAGGTATATCACAAGTTTAAGTGGAAACATGTAGGTATATCACATACTGAAGCGGCGGCCCGATATTCTATATTGAATGGTAAAATAATGCTTTCCGCTTGTTAATACTTTTTATTTGTTTTATTTTTATAAACTGTTTCATGTACATGTCAGCTTGACTGTATTGTGGTGAATGTAGATTCTGGTGCTGCCATTCAGTTAATCTTTTTTACTTGAAAATCCTTCATCCCGCCGAAGTGGAAATCGCCATGATAGCAACCAAAAAACAACTTTCAATAGGAAATAACATTTGTGTGGCTGTCTGAATGAACTGATGGCTCTACCTACATCATCATCAGTACCGGTATTGTGCCAAGGGCCTGAAATCAGACAAATCACATGACCATTGCACTTGGTAAATTTGTTGGCTTTTTCTGGCTTTTTTTATGTCTTGATTTGGCTTTTTTTTATCGCTGGGATCTGGCAACCCTGGCATTGCTACAAAAGAAATGAGGAGTTAGTCAGTGGCGTATTGCTTTGGGACCCTGAGCATGGAACGACAAAAGTTAGAAGACCGAAGATGAATGATGGGCTAGTCTAAATTGGTAACTGGCTTTCTATCTTTTTGAACGGGTATATATGCTAACAATATAGGCATCATAGAAAACTTAAAATCGAATGCAAAATCTATCAGCCTAAGTTGGCAATGCCTGATAATTAAATATTAATGTTATGTATGGCCTAACAATATAATTTGTTCCGAATGTTGTTGTATCAGTTTATTTCTCATCTAATGTTGGCTACTTTTTCAAATGTTTGTAGTCGTGTACAAATCGACTTTGGTCGTTGAATCTTCTCCAAGGGTTCATTAGGAGAGTTTTGGACTTGGGTCGAAAAGCAAAATTCGACTTGTTGTGTCTGATAATATATATATTTTATTTTATGTAGGCTATATGTGTATGGTCGTCGGGAATGACATTGTTGTTGATTGCTATTGAATAATATTGTCCATTGTAATATTGTTTTATTTTATAAAAATCCAATAAAAAAACAAGAGAGCTATGCTCAAATATATGGACACGTCAGAGCAGATACCACAGTCCACAACTATATTGACACCAAGCGGAGCAGTACTGCAGTAGTTCACCTTACCTTTAGCATTGCCAGTACCGGTAACCTCAAAAAACTTCCGAGTTTCGAGTAGCGAGAATTTTCGGAATCGGTCGTCACGCTTGGCGGATTAAAATTAGAGATGTACCGATACCACTTTTGTCGCCGATACCGATACCGATCCGATACCAGCTCAAAACGCCGATACCGATACGCCGATACTACAAAAAGGCCGATATTACCGATATTCCGACACCGATACTATGTAAATATTACTTAATTAGGTGTGTTGTGTAGAGCAGACGGGTTAAAACAATGGTCTTTAAGCGTTATTCATAGTACACAATATTTCAGATCGAAAAAAAAATATATATATGTCGCATAATGTGAAATTAATGTTTGGTATCCATATGCTTTAACTGATTGAGATACATTGTACAGTAACGCTAGTAATCTCAGTGTTCAATTGAAACTCATAAGCCGGGATGTCCAATATGAATTTAATGTTAATATCGCGACCTTCAAAAATCGTTATTCGTATTTAAAAGAATATCGAATATCACCCACACATTCTAGAGCCGCCGTCCTACGATCAAGTTAAAAGCATTTTTCAAATATTTCATTTCGTGGCTAATCGTAATCGTCGACGCAATAAGTAAGTCAAAGCCAACATGAAAGAATATCAATCAGCACTGACCAAAAGAAGACCTACCTATAACCGTCGAGGACGTTTTTTCTACTTTACTATTTTATATTATTATACAATTGCTATCATATATTTTGTGACAGTCTAGGGCTAGGCGGTCATGTCAATATATCTATAAAGAAATTGTGTAGTTAAACAAAATTAATACCTGCGTAGAGGAATAATTGTGTCGGAATTTAGTTTATTGATGTCGACGGACTAAATGATACTCGTACTTGACGACAAACAGTCAGAATTTATACCCGTGCCAAAAGTCCCTGTGCCGTTAATAAGGACCCCAATTCCACTGTATGATTTAAAACAGGGCGTCTAATTGCTTTTTGTTATGTGCCGTGTTAATATATTTCTTCATGATTACTATGTAATATTAAAAATGTCAATATAAAAATTTGACAGCGAAAATAGCCAAATTAGTTGAGCTAATTTGGCTGATAAATAGCTAAAAACACGTGAATCCTATTCTCTCGCGGGGGTGGGGACATGTATGGCTCATAGCTCACGATCTCTCCAGACAAAAAATAAATTAAAAAGTAGTATTCCAACTTATCTTTAAAACATTCTGGACCATATCAAAAAGGTAAATATATCGGAAATATCGGCCTTAATCTCCCCGATACCGATACATGGCCGATACCGTAAAAATGGCCGATATTGCCGATACCGATACATCGGTACATCTCTAATTAAAATCCGTGTTCCTGTGATTAAAAAGTGATACGCCGAAATTTTGGATGAAATATTAAATCTCATACGATTCATAGACAATTAGGACTAAAAAAAAGTAATAGCCTTCTGGCAAAAAATCAATCTTTAAACACTGAAAATTTCAAAGCATTTGGTCCAGTATTCGAGGAGAAAAGCGATTTTATCATGACGAAGGAGAAAAATAACAAGAACAACAACATAAATATTATTGAAACGATCGTTATGTACACTGACGTGTCCAAAAATACCGACAACGACGTCATTATGCTTACACCTTTTATGCTCCTGTTACCGACCACTTATCCTGATAAGTCGCTCATATTGGACAGTTGGCATTATGCTGCCAAAATTGTTACCTGTTCACGCACCCCAAATATATGTTAAAAATGATGACTCGATTTTAACCTTTTGCTACATCACTGATTTAGCACAAAAATTTTATGGAAGAAACATATATGCTCATCGGAAACAATCTTCAAGTAACTTGGACCCAGAAGTATGAGTTCATGAGAAATTAGTTATGATTATCGGATGTATATGTATGATACTTGGTTATCTCGACTTTATCGGGCGTTAGAGTGTCTAGTACGTCAAATCGTTCATTAAAATCGCCTGAGGTGTAAGGCTCGTCAATTAGACTGATAAATATAGACAAAAGAGCATAGCTCAAATTTTGCTAGTTTATGCATTGGTGCGAAACATAATTAGAATTCTTTTGCTCAGTATTTTGTTCCGAAGAAAATACTTTTTTCGGCATAGAACTCGTGGGGTTCATGCCACCTTCAGAAAAATACTGATTATGCGTCTCAGGGTTTTATTTCATTATGAGAGGTTAATATTAATTTTTTTTAAATCAAGATTCAAAGTTATTGACTAGGTATTATTTTAAGGGGAGGGCTTATATTAAAATCATTCCTAAAATTCGGGCTAGGTCTTATTTTCGGGAAAACACGATATTCCGCCAGTATTTTATTCGGTGGTCTGTTTGGGCATGGAAATACCAGTGGCTTGAAAGATATCGCTATGCCGTGGTACGTACATATTTTATTTACGACCGAATGAGATGACTTAATTAAACGTGATTTGAGCGGCGTTCTGAAGCTTGAAATATTGCCGTATTTGCTCTATTGATTAGAAGCTACGCCATGTGTGCACTACCGCAAACCTGCTATGGACCGTTGGTTTTGGAGCGTGGTGTTTTTCCTTTTTAATACAACTCTCGCTGGTAAAGTAGGCCCTATTTACACCAAGCGACGCTTGTGAAAAATACGCGACAGCGTAATGGTTGTATTTTGAATAGGTAATGTAATGGGTGTTTTATAACCTTCCTAAAATGGCGAAGGATTTACTATTCCTCTCTACTAAACTTGCGTTGAATGCTAGGTACTGCTCGGACATCGAGTGATGTATCAAGGGACGTTGTCTTGAGATACATTCAGACATAGCTTATCAATTCAGCAATTCCATATTATTAGGACTGAATGTGAGAGGCAGGTTAGTAGGAGATAAGTGTGCTATTTTGGTCAATTAGGTTTAATTTGATCAGTGATTTGTCCGAAGTTCAACTCTAAATCGACCGTGGCTGACCAAGATAAAATAATTGAGCAGTCGATGATCTTTAGTCTGTTACTTTGTTGACTGAATGATGTTGGTTCAATTTTTTCGTTGCTTGTGGCAGGCCTATTTGTAATTTTGTAGTATTTTGTTTAATATACCATACCAATCGTGCATACCATTTGAGTAATATGACTGATGTCATCGACGACACGCTGTCATGGGAACAAAGAAGGGAACTACGCCGAAAGAAACGCCAGGAACTATTGGCAGAGGCAGACAAGTAAGTAATGTCAAAATGCATTTTGACTAGAATGTATGAACGCTCGATATTATCGCTAAATTTGTTCAACATAGTTTGAATGCATTCTCGAGTAGCAGTGTTGATTGTTTTCGGAATCTCGTTCACAAAAATTATGCCCGAAGCGAAGTCGAATTGACCGTGCGTGTTCACATTGTATTTTACAAAATTGGAATGGGAGGCGAATTGATTAGGGTTAGCTTGAATAACAGTTTTTAAATGTAATATTCAGAAAAGCCTGGCTGGAGTCTGAGTATTCATTAACGAAAACGTGTTAATAGGTCAGCCACTTCATTAACATTCGCGCGTGAACAGCGAAATTCTCCCAAGATATTCATTACACGGCGATTTTATGTCTTCCAAATCATTGTTTGTTAGGAGCGTCGAGAATTGAGGATTCCCTGAATCGATCATTTTTGACTCTGTTAGTGTTTACATTAGTACGTTGTGCACAAATTCTCAAAAAATCAAGAAGGCGTGATATTGGCCTGCACTGCTTAAAAACATACAGTGTACTGATGAAGTAATGCAAACTTCAGAGCGTTTATTATTGATTGGCTGTCGTCAACCGTTACATGTCCTTGTGCGTTAAATCTATAATTAATTTAAACTGTTTGTCTGTTTGGTCAAAATTAATGTGAAATTCAAAGCCTAAGTACATGTTACGTTTGGGTTAAGAAATTCCTTTGCGGTCGGTCGTCAGCTATCAAAAATTTTCTCTTTTTCTCTCGCGCGAGTCTCTTGTTGCCATATATGGATTGAAATCGTTTACGTCAATGAAAACTGCAGCGAAAATGCCGACGCCGTGTACGCCTTCTATGACGAAGAATATATTTAATTTCCAGCATTTATTTATCACTGCCTCGCCGTAACGCGTCGAATTGTTCCTCAACTTTAACACGGTTAGATTTTATGACATAATCCTTTGAATGAATCACTGCAATGAAAGGATTAAATTTTTGATAACCTGATTGTAGTTCACAGTTTATGATTTACCCATCTTATGGTCTTGTCTCCAACCATTATTGATATGAAATTCCTGTCCTTAAAAATGTTAGAACATCTGTTTTATCATACAAAGTATTGAATAAAAAATGATGCTTATAAATTAACTTGAGTGATAACATTTTTTTGTTTGTTTTCAAATTCATTGCACAGCAATGTGATAGAAACAAATTATATTTGTCATCATATATCAAGCAAAATTTTATTTTGATCACTCTGACATAAAACAAAACAACAACAAAAAAATGCGGAGCACCTGGAGAACTGTCATACCTTAATTAAGGACAAAGTTTAAAGATGTACAAGTACGCTCCTGTCAACCAAAACAAGTGAATAGAACATATTAAAATTCGCTTTTAAAGTAAAGTCTTTTAACTTCTGTCTGTGTTGTGGACAGACTTGATCAGCTACATCAAGCATGTACTTTTTAAAAAACTCGCCATCACTGAATGGTTTGCTGTGTTTAGCAATGTTATGTGCGACCCTAAAGCTGGCATGAGTGGAAGCTTTCTGGGCTAATTTGACTTTTACGAGTACATTCTGCTGCCTAGCAAGTTTTCTGTCCAGTTCTGTTGCTCTAGTTTGCCGTTCCACTGCTGATAATTATTGCCATAGTTTCCATGTTTCGTCACATAATGAAGACTAATGTTGTAGCATGCTCTTTTATTACCGCAACACTTTGACCACACAGTAAACATACTGCTGTGTTGCCAACCTTTGTAAAAAAAATACTTTGGTATCAAATCTTTGTTAAATGCTGGACACTCTCTATCAACTTTGCGTTTCTTGCGGAATATTTCATGATTAATTTACAACGTTCTCTGCTTTGACCTCATATTGTTTAACAAGTGTGCTAAGCTAACGCAATTATTTGTTCACTAAGGCAATTGTTTATTTCACCAGCTCGCACTGACAGTGCGGTGAGAGTAGAATGATCGGCAACTTTTAGGAATGATGCGTCAGACCACATTACAGTGTGTGGTTGGATACAGTCAGCGGGCCGGTCAAAATCTCGTCGCGGGCCATATGTTGCCCATCCCTGCTTTAGAGCTTTCTGATTGTTTCCATTGTCAATTCCAAATCCGCATTCGCCTCACTTAGTATAGGCTCAAAAGATTAAGGCGATGAATCTGGAAAGTGAACAAAATCTAATAAAATAAGTTTAAAGCGTATTAAACGCGTTCACTTACCAAAGAAGAAAGGAAAACAAGTCACAAACAAATGAATATTGACGGCGATCATTACTCAGGCGTTTCACTTTGTAATCAGGTTGCGTGCAATTTTTTCAAAAACAAAACAGTGAATTGAATATATCCGCTGTGCGTGTGATGCGGCATGTAAACGAACAATCCGAAAAAAAAAAGAATGAGGTGCGAATGCATATTTGTTTATTGATGTCACTAAGTCTGAGATTCACTTCTCGAATGAATATCTTCGACTCGAGGTAGCCACGCCCGCACGCTACGGTGGTCGTACTGATCGACTGAGTTTGTATAAAGCAGTAAAGCAAGTTTATCAAAGTTACCCTAGCAGACATCCCTCTTGTTTTTGTATTGTAAAAATATTTCATCTTTAAATCTATGGTTCAAAATATCTTGACGGTTTACAGTGGTTGGACCATAATATGATACTCTGGGGCTGGGCCTATATTGGGTATCAACTTTAGGCACTCGTGCAATTGTTATCAATATTTTTAAATAAATATTTGAATACATAATTATTTGAATCTTTTGCCAGGATAGTGAAGCCCGATAAAGTGACATCTTCTCAAATAACTAATGATGATGATAGTGATAATTTTGAACAAGAAAGGGCGCGTCGAAGAAGAGATAGGGAAGAAAAGAGAAAAAAAGAAAGAGAGGAATTGGAGTATGTATATAAATTTCTATTTTTTCAGAATTATTGGGATGATTTCTATATAGGTCACACACTCATGTAGAATCTATTATAGGCTATAGTTCATCTTCAATGAGATGATAACAAATCTGGTCCTATATTTGATGTAACTGGAACCGCACATTTTGCAAATCCTACATGTTTTTGTTAATTAACATTCCAACAATTTCAGTTTGGATGAAAATTCGAGCTGTTAATGCTGTTTAGTGGATTGTCTTGAATATGTGTAGGTTTGTGTATCAGATCGACGTTTTTGATTGTGTGCAAAAATCGAGTAATTTTTCTAACGGTACGGTTCATGGTGTTGAGCATTTGGAATGTGCCTGCCATCCCACCTGATTACACTGTGTGGGCTCACAGGTTCAAAATATTGTGGGGGTATAGTTATTAGCGAGGATTGCTGGACTCCTCCCCATCGCAAGGTGGTTCAAGTAATTCCTGGTTTACAGCTTCCAATATCTAGTCCAGGGTGGTCCAAGGTTGTGGGCCTCGCGGGCCACAATAGTGCCAAGTATAGGTAAACAATACAATACAAAACAAATACTTATATTGTCCAAACACATTTATCATTATGTGTCATTTATCTAGCTAAAACATACAAAACCACCAAAAAACGAGCAAAAATCTTACTGTATCTACTTTTGAGGTAAGATTTCAGATTCTTCATAACGGAGAAAGTGCTGTTTAAGATCGTCACCATCACAAGTTGCACACATATCAACTTCTCATACCAAGTCAAAAAACTGGTTTAATTGAGCAGCTTTCTATTCAAACTCATGTTTACAAAATAACTTACAATAAATGCAGATTGATTGATTACCGGATTTTACCAAATTTGATTTACAGGAGTGTGATTACCAAATTTTCTGACATTATAGGCAGCATTTTTGTAATAATGTTTAGGCTTCTTGCAAAATTCCCGACCAAAAAGATAGAAAGCCAGTTACCAATTTGGCTAGCCAAGCCCATTATTCAACTTCGCTAGTTGCCTCAGCTAGCCATATCACTAGTCATTTCAGTGACATTAGTGATATAACAATATGTCAAAAGATTTTTCTGATTAATTTTATGACAAAACAACTCGAAATGCTATTTTTTATTACTCACCAAACGCGAAGCGGGCCACCGATAATGGAGCGACGGGCCACATATGGCCCGCTGGGTTTGGACCACCCTGATCTAGTCCATCCATCCGAAACAAATGGCAACTGGCCAACTTACCCTATAACCAGCATGGACTTATAAACGGACAAGTGGCTGTTGTACGCACGCCATTTATTTTCCCAGAATTGATATGAAAAATCCTAATCCTATCTTATTGGAGTTGACTTCAAGCTTGGTCATTAACTTTTTTCGATATTTTTCAAATAGATTTCCAAACATTTGTGAAAAAAATCACCAATCGGTAGCAGTGAAACAGCAGTTTCCACCATTATAAGTAGCACAGAACATTAACACGTAAAGGGCTACTGAAGCCTATTATTGCTTGTTATGATAATAGTCAAGGGTTCTTTAAGTTGTTCTATTGGTGAATAGAAGGTTCGCTCTCGTATGTTAACAAAATAGGCTACAAGAGGTGATATTTAGTTGCACTCGTAAATTGATGATGGTCAAACATATTACTATGGGCCACAGCAGGGAGAAGACAACAGAAATATGTAGCTTCCCATGCTCTGTTATTAAATATCTATTTTAAAACCGAATTTGCTCATAAAGCTAGACAGCAGTTTTTTGTCTCGCCTCGCATTTGTTGTTGTTTTGATAAAAAGTTCGTTGCTTCCTTTTACTGACCTCTTATTTATTTTCTTGAAGTTACTATTTGTAACGTACTAACATCTCCTTCATTCAACAAAGTTGTTAATTTTGTTTTAATTGTGTGTATATATGTAAGAGTGAACTCGAATATTAGCTTTGAACTACTCAGCGAAGTGGAAATATAAAATGTTAAAATATAGCATTCACTCTTTCGTTGAGATGATTGATGATATCAAATCAGTCTTGACTTTACAAATGTAATGGTTAGCCAAAGATTAAGGTAGTCAAGTCCTTTTTTTATTTGCTGACATCTTTCTATGGGCCAAAATATGTTTATAGGCAGGCTGAGAATAAATTGCATGTTGTAGTTTAAACTAGTGCGCTCGTCCCGTAGCCTATACTTTATAGGCAAACAGTGATTAAATATTTTAGGCATTTGTCAATTACTTACATAGAGCGACAAGGCCTGGGGATTTGTATCGTCAGTTATGAATATCAATATTTTCTGTCAAAAGCCTGTGTTGTCTGTGTATTCAAATTATGCTACAAAATTCCCTTAAATGATTGGTCATTAACATGTTTTGAAATCACTAATTTATGTAATTATATTGATGAAATTTCACAGAATACAGATGATTGAATTGATTAATGCATGAGATCTTAGATATTTGTGTAGCTTATCTTGGTTTTCAAATTAATTCAAATAGCAGTTGGAAGTTTGAAATTTTCCAATATTTATTATCAAGCATGATTGTATTGGAAAAATTAGATGTGATTGATTAGGCTACTGCATTTAATCTAGAATTTTAATGGCATGCTCTTTATTTATCTCTGATACCAAATAAGAGGATATACAAAAAACCATGATCTGAATTTGTTAGTATCAAGTCAGTCCTACGAAGATAACCGATCAACTTAATCGTAGCAATGATTTTATTTTTGTAGGTATGATTTTGGGGCGGTACAAATTATCACATACCAAATAGTTGTTTTAGTTATTAATCACTGATTATTAAATACTGATTTGGCTTAATTTGGTATTTGACAACATTTTGCTTATATCTGCCAAAAATGTGGATCAATTTCTGTGCACTAGGCCAAATTAGTGTACACAGACAAAGAAAGTACTGTGATACAGTTTGTAATACTGTTATAAAAATTGCTGTATTGAATTTACTATGAAAATAAGAATTCGAAAAAATTTCTAATCTGGTAAATAAATAACATACCCGACAGATTGCAGTTCTCAATATTGAGTCTATTCCACATACCTAAGCCAATTATGTTTGGTTGTTAAATATAACTGAATTGAACCTTGCAATAAAACTTAAATATTCTTGATCTTGATGTAGACCAAGACTCAAATAACACACTAATCTAACACGCTAATCAACACTTGTTTTTGTCCTGCAACAAATATTTGTGAAATACTTTTTTAGTTATCATAATTCATAACGGTTATGATTATGAACCAAAATATTTCAAAATAATTTATAATTTGATTTAAGTTCATTTGATTTGACATTTCTCTAAAGAATGCATTTTACTAGCAGTGTATTATATTCCATCGTATCAATGTCTCTGAACAGTTTTCTTTATATGTTATGTCTAGAAAACAATTGAAAGAGGAAGAAGATGCAAGAGCTGAAAGAGAAAGAAGAAGAGAGGAAAGGAGGTAAATCATTGAAAATTAACAGAAGTTAATATTAGCGCTAATGATTTGGTTTCTGCAAGACTAACTACTTATCCTTCTTCTATGCATTTGTGCGGGTGGATTCATATGCATATATTGCAAGGATGCTGTAACAATAGTATAGATAGATGTCCTAAGTGATTCAAGACTTTTGCAAGGTCAGACGAAACGTTACAGAAATATATTCGTGTTAGTGTGCAGCAGGATCCTTGAATCAGTTAATATTGGATTATATTCAAAAAATTTTTTTTCACGAATTGAGCACAAGCGGAAAAATATGGAACTCTTTTCTGCATTTGAACATAACAAAGATGGGGAAATATTTTTCAACTATTCCTTGTATTTCTTGTACAAGAAGAAGATACAACTTGTATTTCTAACTAATATTAAATGAATTGATAGCAATTTCTATCTTGAAGTGCACAAACCTAGCTTCAGAAATCAAAAAGATAATTTAAATAATAATGAATAACTGGTCTGAAACATAATATTCTCAGTAATATTAATATCTGGTGTGGTATTAAAGTGCTATCCAAATTCGTCCACTGATGTCCTGCTGAGAACGTGATCACAAGCTATTCCATAATTGTTATCTTACGCAATTTGCGAGGCAACACGATTCGACTGTATGTAGTAACATCTTCATGACGCCAGTCATGTGATTACTATTGCGTAGTTACGTCATCAGTACGTCTTTACTCTCGTTTGAGATGTCCGTCAATTCGCTACCCATAATTGTTAAAAAGTTGTAATCGTTCAAAATAACCAACATTCCATATTATTTTATTGTCCCACCGATATGGCGCCGCGAACCTTTATGGTGAGAGACTAACTTCACTTTGAGACTTCAGGGTTCAAAGAGTTATTAACTTTAAGTCAATGGCAGGACCAATTGAATATTCTAACTGTTATGTATATATAATGATATGTATGTTATATATATAATATGTGTGTTTATATATTATCAAACAGGTCCTTACTGAAGCTGAAAATATTATGATGTATTGCTTTGAATGATGTTCGCTCCACCAATTGTGCCAATAAAAAGTCTAAGTAAATAAGTAATTTGGTTAGTTCAACAATTTGAATTTCAATATTTGCCCATCAGATTTTTCTCTTCACTTAATAAGAATGTTTAAAATTTCTTATTATGTGAGCATGTGTTCCAATTCGGTCCACACTACCAATCTCAATTTTTTAAGGTGAATATTAACTTTCAAGCACATCATGAATCATGATATAATGTAATCAGCATTGTGACCATATTATGCAGTATCAATATGGGAGTTGTCTGAGATGTATTCTGAAACTGCCTGCCTTCTTTCGGCTATAGAATTATAGATATTGTAAAATATCTGAACATAACTTTTAAAATATGGCTGTGTATTTAATGAAAACTAAAGAACGATATCTGTAGTTTCCATGATGCTGTCAAGTTTGCTATTTAATGTCATATTCTGGAATTTTCGAATTGATCAACTTTCAAAGTAGTGTACTGAGGGTGGGCACTGGAAGGTACTGGCAGCCATTTCACCTCTTTCACGACTATAAACAGCTGTTATTCGATCACATTTGTGGTACTATAACATTATGTCATAGGCTTGAGGTTTTCAGAGATTTTCAAATCAAGTATGTCATGTCTGGTCAACTAATTGCATGAAATTTGAAGCCCAGTTCTTTGTTTGGACATAGGGCGTGGCGTGTAGTTTACAATCCACCAGATAATGACAGCAAGAGATTCAATGTATTTGAAAACACAACCACTTCTTAGGTTTGACAAAAATTCAGTCAATAAGTCAAATTTCCTATATGATATGTAGAGCTTGACCGATATCACTTTTATCATGTCGATATATCGGTCAACTAGAGGGTAGTGGCCGATATGCCGATATTAATATAAATCATATGGTGAGCTACAAAATGGGCTTTTATGATGTACCTCGTTTCATTTTGATATTTATTGGCATTGCAGTCAGACTTTTATTCAACTAACTTCAGTTATTAATGCTTGAACAAATGTTATTCTGTAACTTTTCCTGCGACTTCAATATTAGTCTAGCCTTTTCCAGGAAAAATAATTGTCATTAATATGGCGTTTCTAAATATAACTGTGGGCATACCGTATGTTGAGGGTATTGGAAAATTTTAAATTGATATATTTTAAAGTGAATCATGATAATGATAAAATCCTTCGATATTGTGATAACGTATGTGCAGTTACCAATTACATGTGAAATTTAAAATAAATATTTTTCGAGAGACTCTCAATAATTTATTTAGTCAATTATAATGGAATAAGGTTTTTTAATGTAATTCTCAGCAAAATGATAAACAACCATCAATATAAATGAAACTATTACCCCAGAAATTCAAAATTGAATTTGGGAAGGTCACAAATTCGGAACTACTTTTTTTTTTTTCATGGTTCCACAAAGTGGAATATCCATTGAATAAATAAAATAATAAGAAATAAAGACATAATTTATGGGCTATAGATTAATCTAACACAGCCGGTCGGTCTGGTGCCATTTTACATGGGTTATTTTTTTTTGTCAACCATGAAGCCCTAAAGCTTCACTCATGGCCTTTTAAAGTGAACAAACATATTATATCAATATCATCATGATAGTTCCATCAGGCACATATTTTCCAGAAATACGTTGATGACATTATTGCTTTGAGCTACCTGTACTGTGTTTCTGTGATTTCTAACTCACCATCTTCAAATCGAATCTATTTAGAGAACCACCATTTTCTGTCCATACTAAATTTGCCTTTTTCTCATTGTGTACTTTCTCGAAAACGTTATTCCAGATAATAACTTTCCAGGTATGATCATGCATGAAATGGCTCATCATCTGCCACTGGGCATTAGGAGAGACACCTTTTTAACGCAAAATTAAAGCGAGAGAAATATTGGGAAACCAGTTATGCAGATGTGAGAGCCGTTGAAGCACGCAGCCCGGCGCTTATGTATTGCCGATATGAATCGGCGGTTTACTGCCGCAATATCAGCCCGATATATTGGTTGGCCGATATATCGGTCGAGCTCTAATGATATGTAGAAGTGCAGGTTGTTTGTCACGATTTTTTTTTTCCATTTTTTTTTTCAATTATTCTCACTTGATTTGTATTGATATTTTTCCCATAACAGTAAATTTCCGCAATTCGGAAAAAATATATTGTAAATAATAATATTACAATTATTTTAAATTGTTGATTTTTAATTTGAATTTGCCAGGGCAATGTTGATTCCAATTTAAGGCAATTCTACTTTTTAACAATGATCTCATATTTTAGTCACTTTTAGATTATTTTCGTATCATTCGATAAAGAAGGCCAGTTACTTTGAAAAAGATTTGTTTATGAAATATCTCATTCCCTGAGGCAGTTGTTAAGCATTATCAATCTTTATTAATGTTTAAATATATAATCCCACAGTAAGTAAGATGAAGAATATGAATTTAAAAATATTCATATCTGTCATTGGACAATTTTTATTCAGTTAACCATTGGTAAAAGTCAAATCAACCATTTAGCAGTATGCTTTCATTCATCGTTAATGTCATTTTCAAAAATCTCTGATTTCTGGGCTGAAAGCTATGATCAGCAGAAGGTTTTTCACTTAATCAATCACACTTTACAATTTCCAAAGTATAGCTTTGTAAAGTTACATAGCTTATTTAAAATATTGTCCTGATGAAATCACTGGAAAGAATGATATATAAATGGTTTATAATAGCTTCCGATTCAGTTTAAAGTGATACATATAAAATAGGATTTTAGATTTTGGAATTATATTTGAAATAAATTTCATCTGTTTGGTTTTAATAAGGAGACAACGAGAGGAAGGAGATGGAATGGTGAGCAAAGCAAAAGATTCATTGTCTTATTCATACAAAAGCACGATTACAACAACTGAACGAACAACCCATGACAATGATGAGGATGTTGTGGAGAGAACAGTCACAGAAGTTACTGAAGCTATGAGCAATGGTCAGGATGAATATGCAGATCAGGTAATTATTTACTGTGATACGAGGTGCGGCTAAAAAGAAACGGGACTGACGTCACAGATTGCGCAACACGATTAAATATCGGTAATCAACACTTTTGCAGTGTTGCATAATATGTGTTCTTTGTTTAACAGCTGTTTTGACACAATATCGCAATTATTTTTGCTTTTCAGGATCCATAAGTGAATGTGATAAATTTCTTGTTGAAAAAAAATGCTGGGCGAGGTCTGATTGAGTTTTTTGGCGATAGGGGGTTCAATTGAAGAATGACGATTGAGTAAAGAATTAACATTAAATTTGATAATATTTCTTAGAAATTTAAAACCTCTAAATATGCTTTTGTGATCAGTCTTGTATTGTCACAGTTAATGCATCATACTTTAATTGCTATATCTCGTCTTCCTTTTGAAACAATTGAGTTTTATTTATTACAAAGAATGGCGAACATAATGAAAGTGTGGAGGAGGAAGATGTCGAAGTTGAAGTTGATGTTGAGGAAAGTAATGAAATAGAAGAAGATGATTCACATAAAACAACGTATACATCTGTAACAATAACAACTACGAAAAAATCAATGTAAGATCAAATAATGATGTCATGTTTTAGGTTCATAATATATGACATAGGTTAGTGAAATTTGAGTGAGGGGGCGCGAGAGGTCACAAGATGGCCATTTGATATCCCATTCTTGTTTCTTTTTAATGATGTAATATTGTGTTTTTTATATGCATGCACAGTGACCCTTTTCTTACAATGTCACAAAAACGATGATGAAATAGGTTTAGCATGAGTCGCAACACTCGTTAAAAATGATTCTTATGTTAACAGTATGGTCCATGGATGTGTTTCCTTGTTTACGCCATTACAATGGCCAATCAGCATTAAGTCGCAATGGCGTTACAATTGCAATCAGTGTGGTCGCTCGAAAGATATTCGAGCAAGGTTGTAAAAATTACCTTGTTTTCGTGGTCTTGCGTTTTATTTAACAGTTTTCAATCGAGTTCCAAAAAAATAGTTGTACGTAAATCAAATAACGTGCAATGATAAAAAATTTATACCACAAACGTTACTATAGATTTGCCTGAAATTAGCTATCAACACCTGTAAACGGCACACGGTTTAATGTTTTGAATTAAAATGATAGTTTTGCTGATGTGAGCCAGTTTGTAATCACTAAGTTTCCAAAGCACTCTTAAATTAAGCCTATAAATTTTTGCAATGGTACCGTATAAAATGAATTTTTTATAGGTCACGGGTCGGAGAAACGTCCACATAATCCACATAATAACTGCTAGAAAATGAACTGCTTTTCTTTATGCTGAAAACGTACATAAATTCATTTGCATTTCTCTATTTTGTAAACTGTATTTTGCAACCTCGTTTGTTGTAAGTATGTCAGAAGGTATTGGTTGTGAGTTTGAAGGGATTGAGCAAACCAAGAAGTCTGTAATAGTTGTGTATTTTCAACACACAGTAAATGGATTTTTGCATAGCTCAATAGTTATGAAGTAAACAATTACCGTAATCAAGATTTTACGTGTGTTATGTAACCGTTCAATAAGCAGAAAATATATTAAAGCGCAAAAAAACATAAGTTTATTTCGTTCAGTTTTAAGTAAAATTCAGTTTGTATTTACCAAGTATCGCAAAATGACCGAAAAAGGGAGAATGTATGATGACGATTATCTCAAGTATGGCTTTATACATACGAGAGTGAATGGCAAAGTAGTACTCCAATGTGTTTATTCCTATAAATATTTGAGCAATTACGCTATGAGCCCAAACTCATTTACAGCGCCATCATTAATAAACAAAGTAACCTGCCCATCACAAAAGCATTCGACTTTTTTGAAAGATTTTTCAAAGGACTCTTTGAAATCTTTTTTGAGCAAAACAATCTTCCATCTGTTATTTAGTATCGACCAACCAATCAACTAGCAATATCCTAGATTCTTGAAGACACTTTGTCTTATTTAACTATATTTTTGCGTAGGCCTATCCAATATTTTGGAATAGATCCAGAATATGAGATCATTGGCAATAGTGCAATATTTTTATGCGCAGAGCATATATTTCTAAATGGATAACTATTAAATGAATAACCTATGAAAAAAGTAGGGCTTTCATGTTAGATGTAATTAGTTTAGTATTCTTCCCCAGCCTAAAAACATTTTTAATTAACATGTAAGCTACATGCCATAGACACGATGCTGATTCTGACATTCCAGCTAGTGCTCTTTGAATAAATTACTTTTTCTGCCAAGGGTGTATTATACTTGTCTTCATATGTGTATATGCGGTAGGTGTGCTTTTAGATCTTCTTAATACCAGAAACTTTGGCCTTTTTAAATTTTTTCCATATCTCATAAAGAAATTTATTATTAATGCACCACCATTGGCAACCATGACTTATCAAACTAGGAGAAACAATTTTTTTCATTCAATCATTTCGTTAAATATTTATATATCTGCTTACTGAACAGTGATTTTTCCTCTTAATGTATCCAATTCAAATATTTTGTATTATTCACAGTGAACCACAAAGCCCAGAAGATAGCGAAGAGGAAGAAGAAAAGGTATGCATTGCTTTTTTTGATTCAATCAGGACATATATGTGGAACAGATTATAATTTCTAATTAAAGACATAATGATTTACTAATCATACACTCCATGCTGATTTATGATTTACCTTTTTTGAAATTATTTTAGCAATATGTATTATTGACTCTTGGTAATTGGATATGAAGTAACTGTCGCTGAGTTGAATAAAAAAAAATTCTAAAATAAAAATTTCCAAATTAATTTTTCCGAAAAAAAAAAACTTTTATAGGCCTAGATATATGCTACATTTCCATAAAACTTTTGCATCAAAATTATCATCTGACAGAAATAATTTGTGCATTGAATACGAAGCATTGATAAGAAATTTTCTAACAACAGAAGAAACACTGTCAGGAATCCTTGAATCTTTATATTTAGGGGCATATTTTAAACATTATACAAACATTTATATGTATATTTTTAACTATCTTTTTCATTTTTATTACACTTCTCTCTATCTCTTCTACCTTCTTTCCTTAATCTGTTGCAGTTGTGTATTCTACTTGGATTGTATATCAGGTTTGAAATACATTTTGCTGACACTTTACAGCACTTTGCATGTTTTGTTTGTTCAACCAATGTTATGTTGCAGTTTTCGATTTTGACTTAAATATTTATTTGAAGAAGCAAGCATGAGAAGAGAAGTATCACCACATAATGTTATCAAAGTACATCAAATGTCATGTTGTTTATATTTTTACATGAACAGCAGTTTTATTAAGAAATATGAATTCCATAAAATGAAATCTTTGTGAGATGACATTCTTATTATAAAGCATGATATTCAACTCAAGTATTCTACAACATTTTTAATAAAATTTTTCCTATATTGTGATCCCAACTGTTCTGTGTGGCAATTCAATATTGATATCCTTAGGTTGTTCATCATATTTCAACAATTCTTTTGTAGTTACTACTGGGAAACATTATACAAAAATTGTTGCATTGTTCAGTTTTTTTTTAACCATTTTAAATTTATGCTGTCATGGATTTGCATCTATATTTTCCTGCACTGTGTTTTGTCACTCTACTCATATATTGTGTGATTTTTATTGATCAATTTTCGTGATACACATGAGCAGATGTTGTCTTTTTAAGTTGTACTATTTGTGATAAAAAGATGCCATTGAAATAGGTATAGAATATCCATTGTTTTGGTAGAGGAAAATATAATCTATGTGTTGGCCATTTGTCTCATAATTAATAATTATTAATCAAAACAACGAAGACGATTAGTGGACAACTTGCTCTTTTGATTATGTCATCTTTGGTCAGTTTTATTGTCCATTTCAACCAACCAATCCCATCCATTTGGAATATTCATTTGGTTATCTATTCTCACACTCAATTTTTGGCATCAATGCATTAAGTTATCTGATTGCTTTATCTCTGGTTTCCCATGTCCGAACTGTTTCATCAGAAATTTCACATGAAATGCTTTTCTGGACTGGACTAGGAGGTTATTGGTACCTCACCACGAGATTATATTGAACTGTGTTTTTTTTTGTTTCCTATAAGTCTGAATGAAAGTGTAACTGCATATAATTTATTGCAAGCAAAGGAAGCCTGTATTCTAGGATCATTTCTTTATCTTACATTGCCAATCATGTATTCACAGGAAGAGGATGAAGAAGAACAAAAACAGTCCAGTAGTAGCAGTAGTGAAAACGAACATGAATTGGAAGAACCTGTTGCCAAATCCCGTGCTGACATCTTACAGGAGAAAAAGGTACATTGTAGTATAATAGTAAATCAGCTGCTTGATCATAACCGGGAGTGAACATAATAGGGACCACAAACTTCATTCAAATTTTTTGAAGGTCTAAAACAGTAGCCTATGCTGACCACTATGAATTGAATATACACACTGGAGTAATTTTTATATTGATTGGAATTTGCTGCGTTGTTATGCATGTAGCATCGGGGTTAATCCGTGATAAAAAAAAACAAGCAAAGACTAATGCACTAGTACAGCGTTTTCCAATCTTTTTTGGTCGTGCACTATTTTCTCATCGACGAAAACCTTTGCGAACTCAATGTGCGTTTATTGCAAGAGTACTCTGTGTGAAGAAGTAGTAAAACCCAACACAACAGAATTTTAACAAATTTCAAAATCGGAAATTCACCGCAATTACGCGTTTGTTAAGACTTTTTTAGTGTATAAATCGCCTTTTCTGTCGCACAATATTCAATCCAAGAGAACGACAAGAATATTGAATGTTTTTCTATCTTAATTTAATTGTGTTCAAGCCAAGGTCACATGCGGTTGCGTCGACTATTGACAAGATGAAAGCATAACTTCTTTAAAATGTCACGGCAATCTGCAAACATAATAATGTGAGAATATATTGCCCGATTATATTTAGTTTTGATAAATATTTTTTGCGATCTTGCGAATTTGTTATCGTCGTTAGTAATATCTTACTATCTGCCATAAATTTCCAGAAAGTACAACTTGATTTAGTACTTATTATTAAAAGTATAATTATTAAAGTATATAGCTAAATAAAAAAAATATTCATTGCCTTGCTTTAATATTAATTTAATTGTGATCATTTTAATCTGTGGTTGTGTTGACGAAATAAAGCAATACTACTCAAAAAATATCATGACTATTCTAGATACAAAAATGCGTGATAAATTGCGGCAAGTGTCCGATTATATTTTGTTTTAATTCTTATTTTTCGTGAATTCGAAAAATCTGAGCACTCACGGCGCTCCAGTACTGTACGAACCAATGTGGAGGCAGTAAAGAAAAGAATCCTAAGGGTAAATTCCCTGATACTACGATAGCACCCAAAATTTTGCGACTTGCAATCTCTGCAAAAGCGTTTTTAATCGGTCGCGGACTATCATAAAACAAAACTTAGGGTGTTCTCCGTTTTATTTTTAGTATTTTGTAGTGCTGCTTTTCAATTTAGAAAATGTAGGTTGCCACGATTGACACCTACCAGAAAAAGTTATTCCTCGTTGTTCGAGCTCGCTAGAAACACTACTTACGTATCTATCCACGCTTTTGCCGGCTCGTGTTTTCGTCGGAAATCCGCAAGTAAGATGTGAAATCAAATTGTTTGATTAAGCGACGCGCAAGTGACCTGTTGCATCACCTGTTACCAAATTTTCGAATAGTAAATTGCTATTCTAATAGTTGAATATTCGAATATATGCCCAGCCCTACTCAGTATCCAGTAATTATTGACTCGATTAATTGATGTTATGTGTATAAACTTGCATTTTATGTTTTATGTAAATTCTAACGTAAATCGTAACTTTGCTCATGGTTTCGCAAAAACCTTTGCGGCCCAATGTGAATTTCGGGCTCGTTGCGGACAGGTTCAAACGCTCCGGACTCTGGTTGGGAAACACTGCACTAGTAAGTAGCTAGTGAACCAGAGATGTAGTTGCACAGAAAGAATATTTGTAGCTATTATTTATCAATTTGAAGTAATTTTCTTGCTTAGATGGGCTTTTGAAGGGGTTATATAATACAGTTAATCTTGACAAACTTCCGAAAATATATATTGGGTTTTATTTCATATTGCTCAAACTTATTACTACTCATATACTATCATGTATACTCGTACCACTTATGTCATTTTGAATGGAGCACCCATATCTTAAACTTGATTTGTATTACATATTAGGTTGTGGATTCTAAAATGTATGCATCTGCTTATCTTCAATAAATACTATGTTTATTTCGTTAGGCAATAAATCGCAAATAATTCTGACATAAATTGATATACATTAGAATACTTAATTCCATTGCAATTGGCAGGAAATCGCAAAGGACCAGAACTGGTCATGAGTCTACGACACTAAGTTTTAAAACGAATCAAATTAGTTAACATTTTAATAATCGATATCCAGAGCATTAGAGAAAGATTAGGGTTGTTATTTGTTTTTGCATTTCTTGCCATTGTGTGAGTGCCTGGGCAGATAATGTATTACAAACTTTCATCACCAGATGGAACGTGAAAGAAAACGATTGGAAGAAGAAAAAAGAGAGCAAGAAGAAAAGGAAAGAATTAAACAAGAACATGAGGTAAATATTATAATATATTCGATCATTTATAAATATTTTAGGTTCAACTCTTAAATAAAAGCACTTGTTCACAAGTCTAAATCTTTGAATACTTTTGGAAATATCACAGTACATATTGAAATATTTAACCAGTTGATAGTGGATGCCTGGCACTTAAACAGTTTGTATTTTTATAGTGGTAATAGGTGACAAAACATTTACGCATTTGAATCATAAATACGGATTTGAAGTTGTTTTTGGTTATATGTTCCTCTATATCAGGGGTGGCCAACCTTTCACATACCATGCGCCACGTTTTAAACATAATGTTTCAGATGCGCCGTAAATCTCTTGTATTCCCACGCCTTTTACCCACGTCATATTGAAATATTTAACCAGTTGATAGTGGATGCCTGGCACTTAAACAATTTGTATTTTTATAGTGGTAATAGGTGACAAAACATTTACGCATTTGAATCATAAATACGGATTTGAAGTTGTTCTTGGTTATATGTTCCTCTATATCAGGGGTGGCCAACCTTTCACATACCATGCGCCACGTTTTAAACATAATGTTTCAGATGCGCCGTAAATCTCTTGTATTCCCACGCCTAATGTCCGCTTCTTGTTGAAATTATATAAATTTATAAAACACACTCATATATCGACACCTCAAAACCAAACAGTGCTAAGTCCACTTTTCCAAAAAATGACATTTTTCAATTGCTGATTTTCCTGGACTTAGCTCTACATTTTGGTCTATTTGCCTTATCTCTAGGTGCTCTAGATCTCAAGACAGCCATGGACATAACCCTGCTTTTTTTAGGGCATTTGAGAACTAAACAGAGCTGTGTCTACTATAGTGGACTTAGCTCCGGATAACTGCATTGTAAGTTGGGCTAAGTCCGTTTTTTGGACATAGCTCCTCTCAAAAAATATAATACAAAGCGCTAAGTCCATACCAGCCTCTATAATAACATAATAAAGGGGCCCTAAGTCCAATAAAATTGTTCCTGGTCCAGAAAATTGAGAGCCAAAAACGGTTAAGTCCAAAAAAAACCCCGCCAAAAAAAATTGGGGCGAAGCACAAATTTTTTTATACCATCTAAATATGGCCTTCATTGTAACTTTGGTGGACCATAAAAACTAGACATCCTCGATGTAAGGTATTAGAGAAATAAAAAAAAGAAACAAAAAAAAAAGTTTTTTGCGTTTTTCTCGGAACTAGAAAAATGAACTTAGCCCAATTTGGATTTCATGCGTCGATATACACTGTGATATAATCACATATAATCAGCTGTTTGGCCTAGCGTCGCGTGATTTTACTCCAGGCTTCTTCGAGATTAGTACTTGCGTCACAGCAAGCGATTTTACGCTTCGCTTTTGTTGACAACGGTCATTTAAAGTTTGGATGAAAAAGGTGGTATTTAGGGGTCATTTTCAGCATGTTGTGGGTTGATTTATTATTAAATTTTTAGGCTTGGGCAATTCAACTGGTTGTTCAATGGTTATTGGGAGATATTTGGGAAGTCTGGGCAATGGAAAATCCATGTTTCAAGCTGATAAATGACGATTTTCTATTTTTCCAGAAGTTCTGAACTTTTTACTTCAGTAGGGAAAAAATAGTAAATTTTACTAATTTTTGCCAAAAGTCTAGAATGAATGTCATAAAGTCCGTCCAAAAGCTAATGTCGATAATCGCCTGTTGTTTCTAATTCCAACAAGCCGTGTGTGGGCGACGTGGAGTAAGGAGAATAGATTTTAGGTACAATCAAAAGTCACCATGTAAATCACAAAAAAACGGCTTGGTGTGGAGAAGCCAAGTGCAATTAACAATTTTGGCATGAAAAGGGTTAAAGATGCAATGCGCCACCTCTAATCATGCAATGCGCCACGTTTGGTGCATACGCCATAGGTTGGCCACCCCTGCTCTATATCAATGATTCCCAACCTGTGGTATGTGGTACGCGAAAGTCTTCCGGGGGGTACGCGAGAGAATTCTGTTTTTTATTCAACCAAAGGAACTTTTAGTTTGCCTAGCTGCTAATTTCTCATTCTTCATGGGAGTGTGAGCAAAAATTCCCATCCTTGGTGATGTTCAAGTCGAAAAAACAAAACTGACTTGTTGACCTCATACATGACTCTCAATGCGCTGTAAGCAAATGAAATAAAAACCAAGAAAATGAATTATTGTTTGTATCTACTTCATTATGTTGTTCTCCTTGTGACTGAGGGTGAAAGAACAATCCCATCAACCTTGACTAAGGCCTCATAGTTTAAAAAAATTTGTTATTATTACATTTTGCATGAAGCAAATGCGTAATTATGACGTCATAAAAGGTTGGAGCGATTTGACCACCTTACCGCGCAAAATTTATGTAAGTGGTACGCCAGCGCTGCATAAAACCTCGAAATGGTGTGTGGATGGAAAAAGGTTGAGAAACATGGCTCTATATGAAATACGGTAATGGTGACAATGTAATGTGTAAAGTAAATACTATTTGCAGAAAAATATTTTATCACGTCCATCCCGTGCAATTAAAATTACTCATATATGTATTCATGTTAATTTTATATTATTTTATTATCAGTAGTTTGGGATATCATAGTATTGGTATCGATGCCTTCTCATTGGTATCGGGTTCGTATCAGGAATAAATAAGGTTATATTGGTTCATCTATACTTTTGAGTAAGTTGCTGTAAGTCATGATCTAGATCAGTGATTCCCAAAGTGGGTGATATCGCCCCCGGTGGGCGAAAACGATACAGAGGGGGGCGATTTCGCGAAACCTGTTTTTAGTCGGCGCATCGTGCACTTGATTACTGTACTCTGCGTGCTTTCGTAGGTTTGAATCACGTGGGCGAATATCAGACGCGAAAGGATTGCTGGACTCGTCTTCGCGGTAAGGTACGGTAGTTTGCGTATCCCAGTTGTCGGGAAATCTGTAGTAATCTGGCCCGGGACGCTGCACTGAATGGATCTTTTCCCGACCTTTGACCCCGAAAATTTTTCCCATACTTTACCATTCTAAAATTGTCGGTGATTATTTTAAGAGTGGTTTCGCGAGGTGTTGCCTATTAAATGAAGTATTTGTTCCAAACTATCATTCTACTTCATACCATTCAACAATCTGTTTTTTAAAAGTACCTGTAAAGAATTTTCTACACTAATTTTTGATTACTGTAATTAAACTGAAACTCCTAGGAGGACAAAGTGTTCATTGACTTATTTTATTTGAATTTCCGAAAAACAACTAAAAACTAACGAATATAATTCAAAATCGCGAAAATGAGGTAATGTTCCAGACAACGCCTGAAAGTCTGTTTGAGTGAGGAATGTGCCTGAGCGGATGCGAAAGGTTTTATTAAGTACTAAATCAAGTTGTACTTTGTAATGCATTGTTACATTTATTTTTGCATCTTGCTGATTGGCCAAGTAAACAGGGAAGTCTTTGCCAGGGGAAACATCCAAGCGGCGGTTTTAACGATGAATTAATTTTATTTATTATCTACGCTCGAGGAGTAGATTACATTTTTTTTTTACGTAACAGAATTTATCGTGAGAAACGTTTAGACTAAATTTTATTATATTCTAAAAATTATATTGAACAGCTACTCGTTTAAAGAGCCTACAATTTAATTATATTTAGACGAATGGAAACATGCAGAAAAGTTGATGCTGAGTGCAGGGGTTTGATAGCGCAGTAAATATTCGGATATATTGCAATGCAATAAGAAAATCAAATTCATATTCTATTCGAGAGAATCACAACTGCTTAATTTTTGTAAGAATGTATCTTCTTAAAGAAAATCTTTATCAAAATTTCACAAACCATGCAAAAATATTCATTTCGATGTTTGAAAGTACAAATTTGTGCGAACAATTATTTTTGAAAATGAACATTACAAAGAACTAGGATTAGTGATGCCCATAAAATCTTCCAATCTTGGCGTCGTAAAGCTATCAAGCGTGATGCAGCAACAAGACAGTGTCACATTAAATGTCATTGTGATAATTTTTTAATAAGACAACTTTGAGTTCATGAATTGTCGGAATTTTTGCACGATGTTCCGTTTTTAACTTTCAAAAAATATATGTGATCCACAAAAGAATAGCAATCATAATTTTGTCCCGCGAGCGATTTAAATTTTGCCGACCCCACGAATCCAAAACAAATGGCTGATTAATTCTATGGACTGGTGATCGGACTGGAGGACGTGGTAGGATGAGGCGTGGGGGATGAATTTTACCGAAGACCCTATATATATCATGTATTTTGGTGAAGGTCGTCAGGCTGTAGGGATGAATGACATGTACCTAAATCATTATTATAAGTTTTGAAAAATTAATTTTGTTTTCATTATTTTAATGTGAAACGGGGTGGATTTAGGGAGTTATGTTATATCTCCGTATTATGACAGAGTACTGTTAGCCAACTTACACGTTTGTGAACTATTTTCATACTGGATGGGGATTGGTAACTGGACAAGAGGGTGGCGTTGTTGTTGATTAGGCCAAATTATCGACTTATCTTTTCCTATGATAAATATGAAATATTGTCATAATATATTTTAGGCCAAAATGAAAGCTGAACGTGAGGAAAGAGAGAGAAGAATGGCAGAAGGTGAAGCAAAAAGAAAAGAATTCAAAAAACAATCTTCATTAGATCCACAATCTCTTAGTTCAAAAGGAAATACTGCTGCACCGCTGGTAGAAAAGGTACTCTCGATTATATTTTAAAATTCTAATTATGATATATTTTCATTTTTCTGCATGGTAAAATTAACATAATATGAAAATGCTTATATTGGATGAATGTTGTTAGAAAAATGTTTTTTCCAGTATGGTATTGGTATGCTGAGAAGAGTGTGGATTCAAATTTTCCATTGTCAGGGAAGTTGATTATGTAGAAAAATCATGAAATATATGACATACATCACACAAATTGTGTCCCTACCTATTTAATTCAAGTATCTGCTACAACACTAGAAACAGGAAATATTTTATTTTGTATTTGCTAATTTTTATATGGGTGACTCAAGGTAAAAATAACAAAATTTAAAGCATTTAATATTTATTGACTTATCAGTAACAATGCTGATTCAGTGCTGAAGAATTTTGGGATATTACGTCACTTGATACATAGTAAGCACATTGACTTGCTCAGTGTATTACATCATACACAACTTCCTCTTCTGTGATATGCCAGTAATCAATTGGAATATAACGTTCCAAGTTCAGTAAAATTCGCTTCAAGGACATTAAGTCATGGTGCATGTAGCTTCGAAAATTTTCGACTATCCTTATTCACAATACAAGATAACTTTTCATCATTTTTTAAGATGCCATTCATCTGCAATTTAGTTGTTTGTTCTGTTATAGAATGTAATCCTGTATTATGTCTGCCTGAGTGGAGTGGCATTGTGTGTTCTCGCCATATATTCAAGTACTGGTAAATAAAATTACTAAGTAGGTTGGTAAGAGACAAAATTTCTCACAAAAATTTCCTTGTTAATAATGAATTTACAGTTAGTTCAATACCTTCAAAATTCATTGCTACTCAAGTTTTCCTCAGTTGCAGTATTCAACAAAATCCCTTATTATATTAGAAAAAAATAGTACAAATTAGAATAATCCATCATATTCAAGCTGAATTCCACACCATTGCAACAAATTGCTAGACATTGAAATAAAATGACCATCTAAGGGAATGATTTTTCTATGACTATGTTTTTGACACCAAATGCAATATTCAATCATTGATTTTATCTTTATATGATTACCGACATTACTCTTTGTCGTCGTACCTTGTATCTTTAAAAGGAAATGATACTAGTCACAACATTGCATTAAATTTGATCATAACATGTTGAGTGGCAAAACAACAGGCTAGTTTTAGTAGATAGGATGTATTCAGTAATGTCTAGTGAGATATAGGAAGACAATTATGTTCAATATGTCCGCGTTACAGAAATAGGTTGTTCATAAAATAGATGTTTAATAAGTGACCGATTTGGATAAATTAGGTGTTTTCAAACGATACCATTCTTTTTGAAAAATATTGATTTCTCAGAGACAGATTCTTCGATGTGTATGCATTTGCACATTCTTCGTTTTATGATTGGTAAATGCAAAATAATTTCTGTCAGGATTTGACATTTGTCTGAGCTGTGACAAATGCTATTTTTCTTAATTTTTTAAACACTGTTTTAGCATGTTTGTTAGGAATTTCCAGATGTTATTTTATATTTACAGTTTGATAAAAGCAAAATGTAGATTATTTATACCGACTTTAGTTATACATAGCAGAGTATGCTGTATAAAATTCGCCCACTTGATTTTGATTTGTATATATATATTTACGTAATGTTATGATTGGAAAAACATGGAATATTATGCAATGTGACTATTCCAATATTTGGTTTGTCACAGTATGTGAAATCAGTGATCCCAATGATATAATGTCAGCAGTGATGTTTATTGTGATTGCAGAAAGGCAAAAATCAAAGATATGGAAAGATGATGGATCTTATAATACTGTATTACTATTATTGTTAACTGTAACTTGAACCCAAGGGAACTTTGGTCTATCGATCAGTTTTCTGTGAGCTGACGCACTAAATTTTAATGCCGTTTGAATTTTTAAACCGAACAGGTTGGAAGCTATCTTCCTCGTTGCGTGTTCCCTAGAGAATTTGCTCGAACCTGCAATTTGAATGAGGAAATACAAACTGTTTCTGTTAAAGCTTATAATAGAAATACAATATTGATAGATCGTCATTTGTCATTAGCACCCTAGGGAGAAAGCAGATTAGATTTTTGAGCTTGAGAATGTAAATTTTTCATTGTGTTGAATGGAGGGTTTTATGGTATGTTAGTTGTGTTTGTTTAGAATAAATGCTATATTTTTGTAGAGTATCGGATTTTAAAATTGTTTTTGTAAAAATAATGCAATTTCCAGAGTGATGATTCACTGTCTGCAGTTGGAGATACTGTGAATGTGAAAAGAGGTTCTCACACAACTGAAAAATCAATAAGGCCTGTGGTGTCAAACTCTAAAGTTGATAGAGATTCAAAGAAAAAGATGTCATCACCTGCAAAGTCCCAAAGTTTTCATGTGCGGTCACATACAGAAAATCCAACTCGACCACTCACTCGTAAGAATCAAACTAGGCGTTCTCTGAATGCTATGGAAAAACAAGCTGGTGATCTGTACAGTTTTTTGTCGGAACTAGAAATGCAAAAATCTGCTGGTCCAAAACAATTGAAGGAATTTTTGGAATCAAGTGAGCGATCTGAAAAGGGTTCTGGTGATGTGAAATCTTTCCATACAGCAAAATCCCCCAGACCTACTATTCAAGAAAGAATGGAACATCTTGGAAAGGCCAGTGCACCTGCTAAGCAGCATAGTCAACAACAAAAACAGGACTTAGGAATGAGATCAACTCCAAAACCTCCCACTAGGAGTGATAGCATGAAGAAATTGGAAATGGCTCGATCCAAATATGCCAGTGGAGCTGTTGATAGTAGTCTGAACCAGATTAATTTGAAAGCGTTTGACTCAATGAAAGTTGGAAGAAAATCGCCAACGGATGCCCTATCCAAGGTTACAGAAGAAACTGTTGCTGAAGATAAGACCACAAAAACTTCTTATAAAATGGAATATAATGGATCTAAGAATAACAATAAAGTTGACGGTGGTGAGGCAGAATCTACTATTCCACAACAACATAATTCTGAATCTAAAAACTATAGCCAGCTTGAAGTTGACATTGATTGCTCAACACCATCATATGAGAGTGAAAATATTTCATTGCATGCTCCAAAAGCTGTGGCAGATTCAAAAATAATTAAGGTGGATAAAAGAGAGAAGATTACTGTAGTTTCTCAAAAGCAGCCATCTGATAACAAAGCAGATAAAACTGCTCAAGCTCAAGAACCAGAAACTCGCAAGCCACGTACAAGAAGACGGGGAAGAAAGCCTGAATTGCTGCCTAAACCTGAATCGATATCTTGCTTCAATGAACCTGATGAATTCACAGTAAAGGTTGATATAAATATAAAAAGTTCGAAGTCATCATCTGAAAACAATGTCGGCCAATATGATCATAATTTTGAGGTTGTTGGGAAGCCTACTCAGAAGCAATATATTGTAGAGGAGAAGATGTCAAATAATGGCACTGATACGTCAAAAATGTTTGATGACCCCAAAAATAATGCCAGACATGACAATGACAATTTTGAAAAATCATGTGAAGAAAGAAGTTTTTCTGTAAAACTTAATTCCGAGGTCGGTGTTCGAGGGCGTAGATTGAAGAAAGAAGACAACGAGCCACCCACTGCCACACTCCTTAATTCTTCTATTGCGAATAAGGAAGATGACACAAGAAAATCACCGGTTTGTGTCTAAATTTAGTTTGCTTACTACTGAAGGCACATGCTGACTGACCCTTGTTACTGATGAACCTTTTGGCTGATTTTTTTCTTGCTTATCTTTATACCTTTTACTAATTTCATTTTGATTGGATTTTGCTAATAATTTGGTTTGGCATGTTTTGCTCTAATGCATGGTTTGCAGTTGCATTGCAGTTACTATTTAAATATTCTGCAATTTTAGCTTATTTCTGGAAATATGCAGTAGCCCATTTCAAAACTTGAAGGTTTATATGCTGGTGATTGGTGAAACTACTTGCCCAAGCCTTCAATTCTATTACAATTGTAGTCGCTGCTCATTGCATGTTCAACTTTTATTCAATTATACTTCTTTGACTATTTCTGTGGATTATCAACTGGTGTGATTGGTTAAAAATAGTTGGAAAAGGCATTGCAAGGTGCATGATATTTGATGTTTCATATTTAGAAGCAGGTTTTTCCATCAAACCATAGTATCAGGATATATTTGGTCACACTTTGTGGTAAGCCCCGTCCATATTGAGCAAGATATAAATATTCAAGTCATTTTATTTTGTTTGAAAATTCATCATCTTTCATACTTCATACTACGAGATGGTGTGGAACACTATAAAACCAGTTTGCAACAAACAGTTGCATAAAATCAAAATTACATTTTGAAATAATTTCAAGTAACAAATATTTGGCATATTTTTGTACACAATATTGACATGAATTTTTTGAGTTGATGTTTGTGTTTATAAGATAGCTGGTGTATCTAATCATTATGTATATATATATATTCATAATCTTGAATGCATATTGATTGAATAATTTCATCATAGTATTAATTCAAATTCACCATGCATGTCTCTTTTCCAAATTCCGGGTAACAAACTAATTACTTAATTTTCTTTCATTTTTTGTTTTGGATTGTTGAAACTTGAAATCTATTTTTTAGGAAAATATTTTCGGATTATTAAAAGAATCAATTAATGACTATCTATGACCTATAAAGTTTTAATTTCAACCATGATATTGATGATAATTCACGAATCGTTTTTTTTTTATCGGCCATACATAAATCTCTTATGTTTTACTTGTCAATACACCGTTTTCCTGTAATTCTCATGAATTAACCTGCCTGCTTAATTTCTTTTTCCAATATTATTAATAATCTTTGTTCTGATGAATATTCATTCAAGATTATTTATATTTTAAGCAAACATGAACGACTGTCATTAATTTGTCAAATAAAAATTCATCAATGGTGAAAATTTGCCTCATGTTGATATAATTAGCTAAAGTGTGAGGGATTAGAAGAGATGCAGAACTGAAGTCACTTTTATCTAGTTATACGAACAACAATATTCCAAGAGAAATATAAAAAAAACTTATTGGATTTATCAATTTCTGAAATTTTTCAAATACTCAAAACATCACATTGTATTCCGATGATAACATAGTCAAAAGTATGATATTCAGGAATCAAGATTTTTTCATCTTTATAAGAACAAATACTAAAAATGCTCCTAACGATATGTTTCCATGGTTTTGGACTATGATATGGAGTGCAACAACTCCTCTAGACAGCAACTTCTTTTATTGCATATAATTATATTTGACTTGAATCAAAATAGAGAATTGTATAGATGCCTATCTCTGGTTTCCCCCTTATCTGGCCATTTGCTGCCCTTGCTTGCACTGCAGAATTCATATCTTCACTCAGCTGTCATCACACCAAAAATATCCCTCACATTGCAATGTCAAAGAGCGAATGTAATATGCATAGATTGACATTAACGTAGCTTGTAGTTTGAATAAATATTCAAATATAATACTTAACATACCTCTTGACTCGAGAGTGCACTAATAAAAACGTCAAACATGCCTGTAAAAATTGAAATGCCAAAAAATTTCATTCTTGAACATTAAATAATATTCAACTTTCCCATCGTGTTTGTACTGTTTGCAATGAAGACACTCATAGACGTTTTTAGCATTGGTGCAGAAATATTTCTAAATTTACTCTTGTATGGACTCTCTTTACTACAGTGGTGTGCAGACAACACTTATATCGTATCATTGGGAATCATCATCAACAAAACAACACAACCATAGTGAATTTTCCTATTTATTAGAACGCACCTGGTTGATAAACTATCAGGACAGAAATATGTTGTTTCAAAACCACTGCTCTGTTTTCAAGTGTTAGGGTTGAATGCTTCATTTCAAATTTGACATGCATATAAAATAATTCAATTCGAAAACTCTTTATTTCTGTATTCTGTGCTCTTGTCTTGCGCTATATTTCAATTGTGATTATAAGATAAATAAAATGTGGACCAATTTTATGAATATGCTGGAAGCTTGCAATGATAATTTGACACTTTGAAATATTATGAGAAAAATATATCCTGCTCACTGTTCATAAGAATGAAACATCAAATATCTTGCGTATATTGTGTCTTATTTATTGAGCATGCCTGAGTTTGTTCAGAGGCAAATAGTTTCCTGTTTCAATGTGTTTGTTCATAACTTTATATAAAGGCAGAAATGCATGTTATCAATATAGGTATGTTCATTAAATTCTAATATAATTTGAAAATTCACCTGTATGGCAACCATCTGAGCCTGTGTATGACAATAACTCAGCACAAGCAGCACAATGTTTCAGATATACTGGCACTAGTTATTATATCTTCGGTTGGATGTCAAGTACTCCCCTGTTATGAAAAAATGAAATACCTGTTATGGAAGATGTACACAACATAAAATGATAATCACCTTGTGTGGATTTTACCGATCAAATATAGTACAATATTATCGGTAACATATGCCTATTAAAAATAGTTCTAGTGTGAATAAGAATAAAAAATATAATTTAATATTATAATAGTTAATATATTTTATTTGAAATCTTTTTAGCATTCCTGGCCATATTGAAACTTCATTCTGAAATATCAGATGTACCCATTCTAAAAATAATTGTGTCGACATTGTTTGTATTAACAAAATATTTGTGCTGAAGTTGTTTGTATTAACAAAAATTTAATACTATTTAATTTACTATCTGAGATGAAATGGACTAACATTAGGGACATCTTTTACATATTAAAATCAAACTTGTCATGCTGTTCACTCTTGAGTGCTGTTTGTCTCAAGTATGTCGTTAATGGCAGGTTTATTAAGTTTCAATTCCTCAAATGGTAATTTTCCTGTGCTCTGCATGCGTTTTCTCAGCACTTCAGTGGTTGCCCATCACTTCGTTTAGAGATCAGTCTCTTTCACTTTTAAATGAGTGTGTGTGACATTGCTTTGAGCAAATTGTATTGAAAGAAAAAGTAATGACAATGCTTGATTTATTGCAGCAATTTTAAGAAACCATTATTGATTCTGACAGTAATTAAAAATGGATAAACTTTGATTTCAATTTTGAAAATGCGATTAGGGATCCCATATTTTGCATGGCGGGTCTGAATCCCAAGCTTGTCATGAATTGGAATAAAGTGGCTGTTTTTAAAGTTGACCATGCTGTCTCTATTCCAATCACATCTTACAGCCAATTGCATGCAACTTCCTTATTAACTATCACTTGCTGAACTTTTAATGACTTACATTTATTTTTGATTCCATTCGTCCGATGCCATCAGTAGCCAAGCAAATTTTCAGTTCTGAAATTATGAAAAACATACTCCCCCCCCCAAAAAAAAATTACAGTGTACATTATATCTAAATAACTCTTCGTAATTAGAAAAAGCTTGAACAAAAATTTAGCATTCCTCTACATTGCATTGGTTTTAAATCCTGGTGATAACACTTATTATTTAAAGATATAGATGGATTACAAAATGATTTGATGTTATTCAAGATTCTGAAATTCAAAATTCTGTTTTATAATACATATAGCCTGAATTTAAAATGTTTTTGCATGTTTTCCAGATGCAAGCCTTGAGCAACAAGATGTCTGATTCGTGAGTAAATTTATAATTTTTAATTTTAAATTCTCTCTGGTATATTTAAAGCAATTCTATGACATGCAAACTTTTTGCTAATAAATTAAGAAGCCTATAAATTCAGTGGCTAATGAGTAATGATAAATGAGATTGAATTGTAAAAGGAACTTTCAACTATACTATATTCAAATGATGTTGATTTGGAATTTATTTTAAAACTCCATCTAATAGTGTAGCAGTTGTTCGACCTTCGTAAAGTGTGATTCAGTTCAAATGTTACATTAATATTGAATTAATCATTTTTATCATTGCATGTTGCAGACCAAAAACATCAAAACCTGTCGATACACAAGTTGCCAAACTCAGTAGTCTGGATGATCGTCTCAAGAATTATACCAACAAAGCACAAAAACAGGTATTGCCTTATGAAATTTTTCTATATCGTGAGATTTTGAGTGTCAGTATTAGAGCTCAACCGATATCATTAGTGGCTGATAACCGATACCGATATGCCAATTTTAATATAAATCCTACTGGAAGCCACAAAATGGGCTTTTATGATGTACCTCGTGACTCGTAAGTCTGTAGTTTCATTTTGATATTTATTATCATTGCAGTGAGACTTTTATTTAACTAACTCCAGTTAATGCTTGAACAAATGATATTCAGTAACTTCTCCTGCGTCTTCAATATCAGTCTAGCCTTTTCCAGGAAAAAGAATTTTTAATCTGACGTTGTTAAATACACCTGTGGGCAGGGGCGCAGCCAGCGGGGCTGGGGGTTACATAGGTCGTAACACCCCGTTTGAGAAAAAATTTTGATGTGAAATTTCATCTACAAAAAAGCAACAGGGTCGTTTTGCGATCACGCATCATGGTTTCGCGGTTCAAGCGATATTATTCCGTGCGTTATCGCCGTAACGCAATTAACACCGCCAAACTTTTTCGTCTTCACAATATGTTATTTTTCATAGTTGGCGTTGATAATGATAAATAAGAATGTGTAATTGTTGATTGCAATTCCGGAAGGCGTATTTTCCTTTCTTTCCACGAAACAGACGTGAGACGAATTTAACTGCCGTTATGGGCGCTCAAAAGGAGAGAAGGGTAATAGGCTATTTTGAATGCTTTCATTTCCCGATTCAATCACTTTTATTAATACAAATCACAGCGCATTGAAAAGCAAAATAAAATTTATTAACATCAATTTACAACGAGTTACGGGTAAGAAGTTACCAACGGCTAATGCTAACAAGTAGAAACGATAAATGTAAAGAAAAGAAACAAAATTTCCCGTCCCTTTTTGCGTCATAATTTTCAATTCCTAATTTAGCATAAAGCGTGTCAACACTGTTTTCGTAAATTTAGAAACGTCGAACCAGATAAGTAAGACAGGTAAATAATGTATTCTTTGGAAATTTTCCGAGATATTCGGGAGAAATATTATTTTGACCAGATAGAAATGCCATTATTGCTGATTTATTCACATGTTTAATTAATATCAGTGTTTTAAACCAAAGCTGAGTTACGTGAATACTCAACACTGTGTATTCAAGAGATTACCAATTTGTGGAGTTTTTAATTAATAATTATTATTCAATACGAAAGTAACACGAACGCCATATAAAATTGAAAGCATAAAAATGTCAACTATCCCCTTCACAAATATCGCATCTCCGGGCTAATGATAATATTGTTTGCTCAAAATTGGCACCGTAGTTTACAAACTGTGATACAAATCCTACACAGAAGATAAAAATCAAATTAAAATTAATTTGTGTTGTGAATGCACTCCTTAATAGTTGTCTTTAACATCTTCGCTGATGTGAACTCGCAATTCTGTCCGAAATATAAAAACCAAACTACGATATCCGCCGTGGTGTGAGAGTTAATATTTGCTAGTGGATATAAAAGTGCTTTAATATAGTTTAACATTATTGATTGGAATGTCGGCCGCTGAAACAATCGCGGTGACAAAAAAATTTACTGCAGCCTTCTATTATGACAAAATTATGAAATAAAAAAACGGCGTATTGTTACAGAGTTTTCAGTCTTCTGGTGTACTCGGGAAAAAAATTATTGTCACAGCCATCGTTTCAGCGACCAACATCCCAATCCCAATAATGTTGTTTGAAATGACAATACTGATTATTCGGTGTTCGTTAAAAATATTCGAATAACTCAATTAAAAAATACAATTTTGCCCGCCACTAATCACGGCGCATGTAAATAATCATATGTGTCAAAAGTTGCCAATCAGAAAAAAAGTAAAACAACAATTTGACACAGAACACACGAAGGTCTTCACGGAACACCGGTTGAAAATCACAGTTTTTGAGTATCATGAAATCAATTTTAAGTGTTTCATATTTATATTTATATCAAAGGAAACTCAAAAGAAAGGAGCAGTTACACCCAAATCTGGGGATGTTGCAAATCGTCTCAATATGTGGGAGACTGGTCGCGTTGCTTGTGGTGACAAAACTCCAAAGAAAGTTTTGGTCAGTGCATAGATTAATATTCTTTTATTGGTATTTGAATCAATCCCAAAATGTCTGAGGAAGCGAAGATTTTACCAGGAGAATTCAAGCTGAGTTATTTCTTAACTAATTTCCTCTGTGCACTACAGGACACAGATGTTGTAAAACAGGGAGCAGCTGTTTCTAGTAGAAAAAATATGTGGGAAACTGGACAAGTATCAGTGGGATCTTCTGCAGAAAAAAGATCGGCTCGTGCTAATGTCCATGGAGCTGACTTTTCCAGTCGCAAAAATTTATGGTTGAAAGCGACACAAGAGTCATCAAAAGCTAGTAGCCCAGCCAAACCAGGGGTGAGATCTTATGTGCTAACTTTACTACAAAAAGTTATTAATCTAGATATTATAAAATTCAGCCAGTGTGTCTTTGTTCGGCATGTCTTTTGTGTAATCAAACTAGTGAAGTTGAAGAAAAAAGGCTAGTCATATCCCAAACTTGAAACTTTCAGTTTATATTATAAGTTAGCCGGTACAATTTTCTTTAATAAATATGTGTGGCACATCAAAGTATGTTTGTATATATATTCTTAATGAATACTTCTACGTTTTTCACCGTATTTATTAAAATTATTTTAGGATACGCAAGTTATAAAAACTGGAGTAATGAGCCGACTTAACAAGTGGGAGAAAGGCGAAGTCACAAATGCTCCTTCTGCTGTTTCCAAACAGAAGGTATTTTCTGTTCAAAACAATATATTTTCAAACAGAGAATATTCAGTTTATTTGATATTGTATGAAAATGTGTGACAAAAACTCATGCGTATCTTTGTACCGTTGCATAAACCGAATTTACTAGTAACAGCACCATTTATAATAATAGCATTCAATCATTTCTTGCTGCTTTAATCAGGCAACTGAACTACCCAAGTCTGGTGTTGTCGACAGAAGAAGCAAGTGGGAAAATATTGCTCATGAACCTCCGAGTCAATCAAAATCTAAGACTACATCGGCTCGACCTGTGAGTGGTTAATAATCTTGAATTATTAAATATAAAACTGTAAAGAAATAATACAAGTTTCCATCAATATATTTCACAAATATAAGCTTATTTCTGATAAATGATTACGGTGATACCTCTGTATTCAAACATAATTCGTTCAGGATTGGTGGTCGACTACAAATTTGTTCGAATGCCGAAACTTTTTTTGCCAAAAGAAACTATGGTAATTATTTTAATTCGTTCTTACGCATTCCAATTAGCTAAAATATTAACGAAACGTGTACCTAAACAACAATAATTATTTGCATGTGTACATAATAAAGATGAAAAATCTTTCATCAGTTACTGTACATTTGAGCAAATTTCTATGGGTTAGTAACAAAACTTGCTGTACCGGTAGTCTACTGTGACTGTGAATTTTCGTTTGAGTATCGCAGCTTTCGCAAGTTTCGGTCGACCTCCGAATTGTTCGAGTATCGTGTCGTTCGACTACCGATGTTTCACTCAAATTAAAACATGTCTATTATATTGCGGTGGTGGACGCAACAGTTGAAATTGTTGCTGTTGCTCTGACGTTTCTTTTTTCACTTTGAACAGATTTTCAAGTATGGCTGTTAACATCCTCTAGTTTTCATTGTCTTGGCTGTCATTTGCCAGTTTTGTGTTGTAAATATGGGTATAAACCAAATATAAATATTTTCGTATTCATGAGAGTTTCAATTTGGATGTGGTGGGCTAACCGAAAACTACCTGAAAAGCTGAGGTAGTTTAGGCTAAAATCAGTTCCAATAATTTTTATTGGCAGTTGTTTGAAATAAAATTGTGCAATAAGTATAACTATATACAGGCTATAAATCGTTAAGACAATCTCAAAATAAGAAATTGTGTGCAATTGCAAATGATATGCATAATGTGAGTGATATATTTTATGCTCTCTGACGTAATTCAGGAGATTGACAACTTAATGTAGCTTCAACTCGATTAACCTGTCTCACTGTCAGTCGCTAACATTGTCTATATATCAATTGCTGTAGGCCTAATGCAATCAAAATATCAAGTATTGTAGGCATAATTGGGTAAAATATCAGCGTAGGACATTTTTAAATAACTTTTCAATAAGAACACTTCATAAAAGGGAATCCCTTATCTAATTTGTTTATAGGTTATTACTACCGAACTATCAAGCAGAAAACACTTATATGAAAGCAAAACAGAAGCTGCTACAGAGGTAATTACTTTTGTTCTAGAATTGAAATTTCATTTCATTCATATAAGACAAGCAGAACCGAATGCTCGCTATACTGTTACCAGAGTAAAGCTATCACTGTAGATTTTCCTAAAAAGAAATACCTCGATAAATTAAATTTCTATACTCCTCATTCTTTAGTCTTGAGAAAGATCAATTTTTGAGTGATGAATTTGCCAAGTTCGGTGAACTACCAGTAATATGCCTATATTACATCAGTCATTAATTGTGGATTTTAATCTCTAGCCAAAGATAGAGAGAAAGCCAATAGCCACTGGACGAATTAAACAAGAAGTTAAACAAGAGGTGCAAAGTGATGATGAAGATGATCATCCTGAGCCTGAACCTAAAAGGAAGGTGTCTCTCAGCAGCTACAGTGGAGAATCGGATGAACATGGCTTGTCAGATTCGGCATCAGAAGGTAATATTTATTACCATATTTCCCGGCGAATAAGTCTCTTTTCTAGACCCAAATTTTTGGCCTGATTTTGGGGGGCCGTCTTATTAGGCGAGTATGATAATTTTCATTTTTTTGGTGTCGCCTTATGTATTACGTAATGTTCTTTTATGGTGGACACAATCGCGAGTTGAACACAATTAGATTAAATTTAAAAACAGTTTTAATTCTCGTAGTCATTATGAATTGAATATTACGCTACAAGAAAACGTCATTATAGGCTATTTTAACCAATGCGCAAACATGGCGACCGCTCAAAAGGCATTGCATGGTAATTTGAGATATCGATATTGATGCGATTTTACTACCTCGACTTATTGGCAGGTTATATGCAAAAACCCATTTTTTCAAACCTAAAAACGGGTCTTGTCTTATTTACTGGGTAGCAGTGTTAACTCTAAGCAAATTATGAGTGCGAAAGTGCTTCGCAGTCCAAAAAAAAAGTGCGAAAGTGCTTTTGCCGATTTTAACAAGTTAGGTGCACTAGCCTTTCATATAACCCATTTAAAACGGCATAGACACTCGAAAAAGCGCTCCTCCGTTAATATTATGAATTAAAAGGAAGCCTTTTCGTTAACGGAGTTCCCTTTAAGCGAATTCATGTTTAATTAAAACAAGTGAATTCATCGGCAACGAAATGACATCTGCTAACACCTGCCGCAGACAAAACTTTCATGCAATGTATCACGGTGTCAGTTGCTTACTCGCGTAAACAGCAAAGACTTTCACATTTGTTACTCCTTCCATCTAACAGACACGAGGCCGGCTGGAAACCATATTAGTTACAGGGTGGATCGTTTGTACAAATCCGGTGCAAAATAATCCCCCCCCCCCCCCCAAATATAAATAGCATTCGACTAATTAGAGTTAGGTGCGCTGGTAATTCAACTTTTCGATTCATCCCTAAACCTAATCTGATAATTATTAATTTGTAATTTTGAACCACTTTGAAAGTCGCTACCGGCTGTTTTAAAAGATAGGTTAACCTAGGTTCCCTCCGAAATATTATGCAGGATACTCCCCTGTTTTAGGAGATAGGTTGACCTACTTTCCTTTCAAACTTTTTTCTCCGAAATATTACACAAGATCACTTTGAAAATCCTCCCATTTCGTGAGCTAGCGTGACCTAATTTCTCATTTACATTTATATTATACTATTTCAGAGCTTACCCAAAGACAAGTACGTAATTTTTAAATGTCCACATGCCTTGGTTTGCGTGCGAGTTAGTTTAAATCGGGCAGAAAACATCATATATTGGCAAAATGTTTAGTAATGTCATGTACTTTCAGCATTCATAAATAGCACTCTTTGTAATGCTGCTGACCTAGGTTTCCATATATTTCAATTACACTAATAGGAAGGATGACAGCAAAGAGTTTTCTTTTGCGAAGGTACACTAAATATAACGAGGGTGATTCTTGAGAAAAACATGAATATAAAAAATAAACGAATGATATGATAATGGATCCCAAATAATTTTGAGAGTGTCTCGAAATACCAATACATTTGATAAATAATTTTTATTCGACCACATGAACGCTGATATCCTGAAAATTAATGTTGAAAGAGAATTACGCATTCTCAGATATCGGACATCCAGTCGCGATATTCAATCGTTCATATGCACAAATCTCACATTAATAGTAATTGCTACCCAAGTTTGTAAAGTTTAGAAACCAACAAACAGAAAATAACTAACCTAAAACACAATTAAAATTCAGTCGCAATAAATTCGTCGCCAAGACGATGCCATACAAAACAAAAAAGATTTGGTCGCGTGAGTTACGTGAGATGACTGCCGTTGTTTTTCAAGCAGAATGTAAAAAAATTTATAATTAATAAACAGGAGTTACGACGCCCTTTACACATCGTGTGTATCAAACTTCCCTGGTAGGTACTTTGGTAAGTACTATTATTATTGTACCTATACACCTGTTGGAGTATTTCGGACAATTTCGAATTTAAAATAAATGAAAACCAGACATATAATAAAGACGAAAATTTAAATGAACATTTATTGAAAAAGTTATTATTTAAGAAAGACAACATGATCGTACAATTCCGCCAAAACCTCGATGTTCGCAAGTTAGATGATAAATAAATACTCACCTGTATTCGATCAATTAACTTTAGCGTATCGTTGTTCTGCCAACAAACAGCCGGGTGCAAAATATTTCCGTCCTATGATATGCTCACAAATATTCTCGATATTAATATCATACCCTCGCGTATGTACTTTCTATTAGCTCTTTAGTGATCCCTTCCATCTTTGGCCAAGGCATGTTTCGAATATGTGAACATTTTATTCGACCATACATGGCCGGCGGGATGTTAAAATTGTAAACAAGAGAGAGGTAAAATCAATCGCGAATTTCGTTATAACGGCTCGTTTACGAATTGTTGCGCCTGTTATCGTCGAAAATGATTACATTCGTTGTATTTTGAGGCATTTAAGCAGTAATAATTAGGGCATGACATCATCAAAATCGTCAAGTGAGATCTTGAAATTGCAAATTCCGTAAATAAAATTGCAAATTATTCGGTAACGAATTCAGCTTTAATGACCGTCGGGGTATTGTTTTGTTGAAAATTATTATTAATTTGAGAGCGCCAAAAACATACAATCCATACCGATGCGACTGCAATTTATATGGTCGCAATTGGTGTGGCGCGTTTATTAATAGTGTAAAATAAATTAAACGAATATCAATTATAACCAAGCCTGTCAGCGTGTTTATTTTCTGTGGGCAGGAATCGTAAAATACCATCTTGAGACAAATTCACTTCTATTATAAAATCTCAATTTTCAGTTATTATCGTTATACAAATAACGTGTGGCAACTTTTTAATTTATCGTCGATCAAAAAACGCCCCACACTCGTCCAAACGTGTGTTGAGCTTGAACGACAGGAACAGATTCATCGAGGACCTTAATTAGGGAAAATATGTATTTTATTGGGAATGCAAAATAAATGTAACAAAACGCATTTTTTGTGATATAACTTTGTATTTTCGGAAACGGGTTGCCGTGAAAGGTAAAATTTGATCTAAATTAATTGCAAAAATATTTTATTTTAAATGTAACAAAACACATTTTGCGATATAACCTTGTATTTTCGAAAACGGGTGTCCTGAAAAGTAAAATATGATCTAAATTAATCGCAAAAATGTTTTATTTTAAATGTAAGAAAACACATTTTCGCGATATAACCTTGTATTTTCGGAAACGGGTGTCGTGAAAAGCAAAATATGATCTAAATTAATCGCAAAAATGTTTTATTTTAAATGTAACAAAACACATTTTTCGAGATACAACTGTATTTTCGGATACCGGGTGTCATGGAGAGTAAAATGTGATCTGAATTCACAGTGAATAATGTTTCATTCCAAATGTATCATAACGCATTTTTTTGCGATATAACTTTGTATTTTCGAAAACGGGGCGTCACGAAAATTATTAATTTAATGTTTTATCTATGGTCTAACTAACGTCTGGAACACATCATTTTCGGGGAGAACTCTAGCCCGCGAAACGTCATTTAATTTAAAATAGAGAATGTTTCACGCATTTCAAAACGGAAAATCACCAGTAAGTGGACAGGGATTCAACCCTCGGAATTCAGTATTCTATATCCCCGTGTCAGAACTTTCTGAAGAATGGAACAAAGAACCCGTCAAACCGCCGCGGAAGAAGGGGAGTATTTTTTGCACTAATAATTAGGGCGTGACAATATCAAAATCGTCAAGAAACTGGTGAATTTGCAAATTCCATAAATAAAATTGTGAATTGCTCGGTAACATTTTAGCTATAATTATCGCCGGGGTATTGTTTTGTTGAAAACACGTTGAAACTTGAGGGAATTAGTTACAATTAGCGCCTGACCTCTATTAGGCACTCGAGCACTCGAAAAAAAAAGCACTCGAGCCCACTTTTTTTTAGCATTAAGTCGTATACGTAAAATATCCTGTGAAAGAAGTGCTGTTCATTAACGTCATCTCGTCTTATGACCACGCAGAAATGCTTCTATAGCCGAATTATTCAATCACTATTTCAAATCAACATTCAGGATTGGCACAATTTCAGATTTGCGAAGTTTATCACCATAGAAATACATGAGAAAGTTAATTATCGTCTTAATAAATATCTGCATCACGGTATGGACAATAATATTACCATTCGCATAAAATTGGGACGGTAAATTTACAAATCTTGATAGGTAATATTAAAGCCAGCGCAAATGTTAATTTGAGTCCTTAATGTCTTCAACAGCTGTTGCCGATGTGAACGAACGGGTGAACAGGAAATATAAAACTTCGATGTCCGCCGACCCACAAGAATTCATATTTGTAAAAAAGAGAGGGCGGGAATATAGATTACCCAAAACCTGGATATCGCCGCCAAAACGATCGGTGACAAGAACAATTAGCGATTACAACGGAATTAACCAGTAAAAAGGCTTTGTTGCCGATTTTTCAATGTTTCCACCACGTTTATTCCGTACTCCTTAAAAATATTCGATTTAAAAAAATTTTGAATTTTGCCCACCCCTCCTCGCATATCAATGAGAAATAGTTGTGTAAATATTGCAAAATTCCGGAAAATGCCACGTCCTTTCAACATTGTGATTACAATAAAATGGCACTTAATGGTATTTTGTGAATTTGTTGATTTTGCAAATCTGTGACATGCTGCTAAAAGTTTCGTCTGATTTGAAAATCGTGCAGTTTGGTCACAATTCATCCAAAGTGACTAAAACAGGTTACTAACATCGTTATCATTGATTACTAGCATCGATATCATTGATAGTCACATGACCACTCTCGTTCAAAGAAACGCCCCGGGAGCGTTTTTTGCGGGAGAAGCGGAATCCGTGTGCTTGTATAATAATCATATTATAAACAAGAATTTTGCTGTTAATGCAAAAGCTTTATCTCCTATGTCTGCATCTCATAGGTTAGAATTCCGGTGAATATCGTTATGATATGCAGAATTGAGTTACAAAAGTACCAGTATGTTACTTATTTGTCAACTTAATACTCGAAAATATTTGTAAACTTTGAATTTTTATTCTATTCAAAATCGGAAAAAAGTGCTATTTCTCTTCAAAATCGGAAAAAAGTGCTATTTCGCAGTCCCTAAAAAAAGTTGCGAAAGTGCTTCGCAATTTTCGCAAAAAAGTGCGCTAATAGTGAACACTGCTGGGTAGACTTATTCGCTGGGAAACACAGTATATATTTTTGGAATTATCTTTATTTAAATATACTACTGATCTTTATGTACAGCTGTACTAAATTTTTTTTTTTTATTTTTATCTCACAATATACTCATTTCAAATTCATGCTGACATTTGGTCTCTTCCCTGGAGAAGATTGCTCTTTGCCAGTGCATTGGCATAGTTGATGACAGCATAATTTAGTGTTCACTTGATCATGCATGGCTTTGTTTATCCGCCATCTTTCTCACATCATAAAAAACTAAGATTGCTCTTTGCCAGTGCATTGGCATTGTTGATGACACCATAATTTAGTGTTCACTTGATCATGCATGGCTTTGTTTATCCGCCATCTTTCTCACATCGTAAAAAACTAAGATTGCTCTTTGCCAGTGCATTGGCATTGACAGAATATAAACAATCAAAGTGCCGATTCTATTTCATCGTCATTACAATACGTGAGACAGCGTAAAAAGTCGTTTGAAGATTCCCATAAAACAAAACACCACGTTTACGGCGAAAAGTGGCTACAATTCGGAATTATTCGAAAAGTAGCAGAAAAGGTATTCGAATACTTTGATATTCGAATACATTCGAATATTCGATTCGTTTTGGACAACCCTATTTGTTGATGACACCATAATTTAGTGTTCACTTGATCATGCATGGCTTTGTTTATCCGCCATCTTTCTCACATCGTAAAAAACTAAGATTGCTCTTTGCCAGTGCATTGGCATAGTTGATGACATCATAATTTAGTGTTCACTTGATCATGCATGGCTTTGTTTATCCGCCATCTTTCTCACATCGTAAAAAACTATGTGTTGTTGTAGTTTTTGATAAATTCTCAAAACACCTACAAAACTAAAAAAATATAACAGTACTAGTTTTCTGAGAAGCATATTTAGCTTATTAAAACATGCTACATCAGGAAGTGATTGATTCAGCAATTTAAAATATCGAAGCATATTGTCCATAAATAATAAAAATTGATTTTATTAGATGAACAGCAACATGGACATTTAGCTAGCAGTGGAACAAATGAATCTGATCAAGAATAGACGCAATTGTTTTGGTACCCTTTTAATAATTGTTACGACACGATTATCATTCATTGGTCGGACTGAAGATTTATATATACACGAAGAACAAGCCTATTCAGAGGCAATCATATATTTGCAATCCCATGAACAATGTTTGTGGAAAAAGTATCTTTGCTTTTATTTTTTAGGTCTGAATGAATAATGCACCGAAGTTGGTTATTATTAATTTGCTGTTCAAATTTCTATATTCTATCAGTATTGGCATGGGATGGTATTTCCCAATACGATTATGTATTTTTTCTCGGTGATAACATTTTTCTGCTCAGCTATTCTTTATTACAGAAGGCTTTTTAACAGTGTGATACGATCTGTGACTCATAATTTTGGTTACTGATATATTTCTAAAACTTGACAATGTCAAATCATGTCATTTCGTTTCTATTGTTGGCTGCATTTAGATATTTTATCCCTTTATTCAGTGCCTGCAACACGATACAGTATTTTTGTTCTCATTTTTATCCTGTCTTAATCAAGTGCCTTTGCTTCACAGTCACACGAAGTGTGTAATTTCCAATTATTAAAATGTTCATCGTTATTAATGATTTTTGCTATATCCGCACGCCTGGGGTGTTTTTATGCTTGTCGATGTTATATCTATTGCAGATGAATTTTGTGCATAATTCGTGAATATTATTATATAATGAAAAAGTATTGCATCACCCCATGTGATAAATTTGTTCAATAATTAAATTTCAAAAAATCAATTGACACGAGGTCAGAATACTACTTCCTGAGTGTCCTATATAGTTATGATGCTGATGAACATTACATTAAATCTTTCAGAATCTCATCAAAATACCTTTGTACTGACGGAACAAGGTTATTTCTTCAGTGTTTTAATTTAGAATTTCAACTATTCGATTTGAACAAAGAGTATCTTTAATAATCTAATTTATACTTTTTAAATATAGAACACACATACAATATTATGATTGACTTGCACAACATCTCAATTTCTTAAATTAGACTAAATTTCGAAGAATGGTAGGGACTCTTTCCATGAGTCTAAAGAATGAATGAAAAGAATTTAAACAGTAAACCAATCCATATAAGTCAGTCAACATAATTATATTTAATGCAGACTGCTGTACTTGTACAAAACATGCCTGAAAATATTCCGTCAATTTTTGAAACTTTTAAACAATTTTACAAGAAGTTATATTTTTATGTCTATTGTTTTTCACACTACGCTGATCTATTGTTCGATGGTATATAAAGACGGGCATTATCTAATTACATTATCTGAAATTTAACTCTGATCATAATTCATGTTTCCTTGTTAAATTTGTTTCATTACGAATCTACCTACACTACTGTGTAATAATCGGCCATGTATATAGTTGTACATACCATATGTCGGATGAGAAATTGTTGCGAAAAGAAAAAAAATTATAACATATAGGTATTACATGCTGACATGTATGTTCTATTGAACTAATTTACATATAGAATCTGGAAAATGGTATATTTTCATTTGAAGTTTTTTTGCACTTTTTATATTGTATGTAAGCAACTATCTTATATCCCTAATGCCGTAATCGATTATTACTATCATTATTCTATATAACATGTGATTACTGTATAAAATGATTAAAATTGGAAAACGTTTAATTCTGTATAATATCTGAAAACATTAGGTGACGCAACACATGGGTGATTACTAGACGGGGTTTCACGATCGATCTTGCACAGTTTATTACCCCGCATGAGTGGTTATTAGCAAGGTGATGAATACTTCTCACCATCGTCACCTTGTGACTGCGGCTACCTTCTACAGCCAGACGAGGGATTACGATTAGTTTGAGAAATGCCGATTTGTCGTAATTATATCTTTTGGTTTGATAATTCCGCCGAAACAGCGAAAAATAGACGAATTCTATTTGAAATTTTACAAAATTCAAAATTAACCATCCACCTCAACATAAAGAAAACGCTTATGACATATGCGGAAATACTTGACAGTGATTAATTTTAGAACATGTACTGTGTGGGAATAGTAGTTCAATTAACCACCATCCTCCAGAATGCCCCAAACTCGTCTACGATTTTCAACTTAATTCGTTTACAGCCTTATTTATACCTCCAACATAATTTTATAATGCGAATGAGCTCTATTACACTCCAGTTACATTTGTTTTGCGTCTTTTGTAATGTGATTTTTAGACATTATACATAGGGATTTGTTCAAAAAGAATTGTTTTAAAACAATTCTTTTAAATCAAGTTTTATTTGCCTGTATTGTTCAAAATGGCTGTACTATTTGATTTTTTTGTATTAAATAGGTTGAAGGGAAATGAATGTAAAACACTTGCCAACCGCATCTTATTTGCAATAAATCATTCGAAACGCCACAAATATCGATAAAGGCCCATACACACCTTTTCAAGTTGTAGCTCAGTGCGACCGCAACCGTGGTTGGCACAGTAAGACGTAACCGATATAAGTAGTTCTATGAGTGAGACAGAAGGCGATGGGTCCAAATTCGGCACTCTGCATTGGTCAATTAAGTTTTCTTCATCTCTGTCTTGACGGATAAGCTTTCAGGGTAACGGGGTTTGAAATGAACGTAAGGGAAATTTTTGTTTGCTCAGCCTTCAATCTTTGAAACCGCTAAAGAAAAGATTTGCTGTTGTTTGTACTTTAGCGTCGCCGGTAAATAATTGGATGGCTGATAGATCTTGTAATTATTTGGCGTAGTAAGATTTTTGATTGTTCTGACGGAATGGATCGCTTTTGATAAACTAGAGCTTGCATTCCACATTATTTTAGTGAAAATGCTTGAGAATCCGTCGTTTAAAAAAAGATTCAGATTGTTTTTATCAGAAGTTATTTGCCATCGGATTTACCGTAATTACATTGATATCTGATATAAGCGAAGAAATTGCGCATTTTGTGTTATGAAGGAAACGATTTGATTACGATTTTACATTTTTGCTCTGTAAAATAGATATAGACTTTTAGTTTCTTGGCGCAGGATTTGTAAAAAAGATCCGAACATTTTACATAAAAGTTGCTCTATGTTGGGTTTCTTTGATTTTGAAACAGAGACTAAATTTGTCCTGAATAATACTTTGCTGTGGAGGTTAATTAAAAACCAGACAGACTTTATTAGAGACTCCGAGAACATTTGGAACAATCTCTTTTGGAGTACGATTTTAAACTCTGCTCATATTGCGTGTCATCTGCTATTTCTCATTTGAATTTCCGGGATCAAGGAAATATTTTACGACAGACACATCTACGACTAAACGTGACCGCAACCGACGACTGTGAGCAGCAATGAGGCAATTCCTGAACCTGCAAAACGCAGTTGAAATTCAAACTCGTGCCGTATGGTGTGCTCAAGTCTTCAGCGATTGCATAAAATCACATTCAGCTTTCAGTACTTTCATCTGTTCTGTTGACCTACCGACGCACATAAAAGTTTATATCAAGAAACATAGTTAAACACTAATACGCTTTAATAATACGATAATTATACTCGTTTCTAAATATTGAAGCAAAATGTTCGATTCTTATTCCATTGCAAATTTTGTTTCAAATTTTTAACACGAACGGAATGCTGCGAATGCGATTTTGTACATTTATATGTATTTAACACGCCAAATGTTCTCAAGTATTGACAAAATGAATCATTTCAAATGCAAGGAGTTTACAAACGGTCTATTTCCGTCAATAACCTAACAGTAATTTAATAAATACTGGCTATGTGATTTTCAGATTTTTTTCAGTATTTGTTGGCGCGTTGGCCCGTTGTTCAGCTATTAATTTTAAGTCATATCTCAGATATGGTTTAGTAAATGAAAGGTCGGCACATATTCTCATTGGTAAAAAATAGACTGAAATAAAAAAATTTATTCTCAATAGTTGTTTAGCATTTTTGCTGCATTTTCTTTATACAGTATTTCTAATGTTTCGACCTGCTTGCCAGCAATTTTTTGATATTATCGCATATACGGCATACACCTCAACTCTGAAGTGCTTTAATATATTTTCCTATCAACTCTTGTCTCAAGTCGATCTACCTGGAAACTTATTCCCTTTATAATTCTGGATGGTGACAATTAGTAAAATGAAATTAGTGGTCGTCGTTAGCTTAACTTTGAGATCATCTTTTGAGTAAGTTCCCGTGACTTTGCTTCGAGCAAATTTACAATGAAAACGTGTCAGTGTATGGTCGTGTTATATTGCTAGCATTAGTTATAGACTATCACTTACGAAATCGCAATTGCTGTCATTAACATTGTTTGTGCCAATTTCTTTTCAACCGAATGTTTCAGTAACTAAATTTATTTATGCATGTTGTAAGTTATCCTCAGCTATGAAAAATGCCAGTAGCGTGGGTCCTAAACGTTGGTACCTTTTGGTATTTAATCTTGCATCGGTATTTCATCCTTCTTCGAATAAACATGAATATTCTATCCAATTAAAGAGTCCAGCTGCACACTAACACAAATGTATTTCTGTAACGTTTCGTCCGACCAGAGTCAGACTTCCTCAGACAAGCAGTTTACAACAATTGCAAGGAATAAATTTGATAAATAAATTTGAAATCTCAAATCAAGTATGACGTAACAATTCATAAACATTTAATTTGCATTTAGCCGTAGAAGTAATGATGGAAAAGTTAGAACAACAAATATCAGTGAGGCTCATTTTAGATGTGATTAAAAAAATTGTAATTGCATTTAAAAATAGTAAAATAGAACGCCAAACAAGGGGCGAGCAATAATATGAACTAAAAAAGGGTGATTGTTAATTTTAAATATTATATGACGTTAACATGAAAATTATTATTATATAATTAATTCCTAGATGAGTCTACAGTCTATTTCTCCCGTGAATTGAGGAATCCAATGTTCCGAATTTGTTGACGTAGTATGCTTCTACTGTTTGGCGATAGCCCTGGTCTCTAAATAGTTTTTTTATTCCGGTTACTCACTTATTGAATGTCCCAGTTTGTTGAAGTGTTCTCCCACTACTAAATCATATTTCCTTTTTGTAATACTTCTCAGATGTTCTTTTATTCGATATTTTAATTAACTACCTTCCGGTCTCGCCGATATACTGCATAATATTTTTTGATTTGCAACTTATACTTTCCTTATTGTTTATATGAACTCCCGTCACGTTCCCGGTACTTATTTTTGTTTTCTCGGAATATTTACAGGTGGTGCATGATTTTCTATTACATTTATAAAAACCAGATTGTACTTTCTGTGATATTACTGGTTGTAGTTCACCTCTAACCAGTCTATCGCGTAATGTAGGGCACTTTCTATATGCAATTTTCGGAGGTTGAGGGAAAATATCTTTTAGTCGGGCATTTTTGTCAAGAATATATTGGTATATTGTCAAGAATATATTTTTAAAGTGCGCTTGGTTTGGGTGGTAGTTGGTAATAAATGGCAATAGTTGCTGACCTTGTTGCATGCTTCCATGCTTATTTATTACATGCTTTTCTATGCTTTTGCATGCTTTTCTTTTGCATGCTTTTCTATTACATCTATAACGCAATAATTAGTTAAAACAATGCAGTAAATGCTTTATTTTTATTCCAGGAAGACAGCGATACGTGCAAAAGACCGACTTTCATTAAACTGTGAAGCATTTGAGAAATATAAACAAATTCTGTTAGAAGAGAGAAGACAAACCAGATTTGAAAAAGAGAAAAAGATAATAAGATTATTTCAGTGAAATGTGAGTTTGCTGTTGTATTTAGGCTATTTTGTATAACTATTGAAACGCTAATGACGTAAACAAAATTAGGATCAAAGATCTTTTGAGTAAGTTCACGTGACTTTGCTTTGAGCAAATTTTCCTATAAAATCGAGTCAGTTGTATGGTCGTGTTATATTGTTAGAATCAGTTACATCACTTACTAAATCGTGTTTGCTGTTATTGACATTCCAAATGTCCTAAACGTCTCTACTTTTTTGATATTTAAACTTTTGTAATCATTTTATCCTTCTTTATTCATCAGGCTGGCCATCGGTTTTGTATGACGTCAAAATGAATAGAAACATTATTTATGGAGTTATAATTACTCATCGATTTTAATCGGTAAGCATGTTGATAGGTATTTGTTTGTCTGTATGTCTGTTAGATGCACGCGATATCTCACGAAAGCAAGATTGAATCTGCTCCAAATTTTGCATGTGCAATCATCTTATTTCGGACCAGGAGCCTATTGATTTTGGACGAATTACGTCGTATAATTAGCGAGTTATCAATTAATTAGAGATGGGACACAAGGTGTCACTATGGAGTAAGAGCGCTGTTTTGGGATCCCCTAACTTTCGATCGATAAGTCTTCGGTCTCTGACCGATATTCTTTGTCCGTTTGATTTGAAAAAAAAACGATACGGACGAATACTTGCCGTTTGCTGACTAATGTTGAGTGTAGAATCGTATAAGGGTGTTTCAATTCATTGATAGAAGAGGAGATTCTGACTTCAAATATTTAGAGAAGATTAATGAGAGGCGGAAATTTTTAGAGGTGTAATATTTTTTTTCAGGTATAACGCTGTTGAGGAACCTTCTGATTCACATATCAACGTAATGTTTTGCTCAAAATCAAATTATTGAATGAAATCACACTATAACTTGTAGATTTTGATATTTTTCAAAATGCTGTATTTCGCAAGTTTGAAGTGGTCCCGAAATCTCACCACAACACGAGAAATAGATTTGATTTTAATTTTCGTATAGTCGGTAATCTTATCGTCATTTAATCAAATTATTCAACCCCAACTTGAGCTGACTCACTTATTTATCCACTCTGGATTACCTGCGAAGGAACCCAAAGTATAATATACTATGGACTATGATCAATAGGATAATTCTAGTGAAATGTGAGTTTGGTATTTATTTCAGGCGGGCTTGTAACTATTGAAACGCTATTGAAATAAACTTTTATTTCGTTCCTAGCAACAATAGAAATATTTAATTTTTAGAATCACGGAATACATGCCCATGACTGGCATGGCTTGCATGTATGCATATCGAATGCCATTTTTAGTTAAACATGTTTATTTTCGTTTTATTATTTTATGTTTATTGTTTTATAATTGAAAGATGTTTGGTTCGTAGTTCATTGATAAACTTTTTTTCGTTGATAGTGTATCTCATCGTCTGATTCATATCTGGACTTATGAAGCGGTCAAAACTATTGCAATTATAAAATACTATTTGAGTCTTCAAGAGTTTCAAACTAAATAATATTGTATAGTAGTATCAACTCTAACGCGTTTACTCTACAGAAAGCAATTATGTCGCTATCGAAAAAGGATAAGGGTTGTTTGGTTGATTGTTTATTGCAATTTTTTGTTCTTCATTATCAAGGACAAGTTTTGGTATCATTGATATTTATTGAATTTGTAAATTGTTTAAAAAAATCACTTCCAGCTTTCAGTACTTTCAGCTGTTCAGTTGCACTTCCGTCGCATATAAAAGTTTATATTTAGAAACTAAGTTTTAAAGACGTATAGGCCTACGCTTTAATTTTGCTCTTGAAATATGTAGTCCATTGCAAATTTTATTTTCCATAAATTTTTAACTGATCATATCTGGGATTTCCAGTTGGTCGTGAATTGTTCCCGACTCTTCAATGTTATATGGTAATATCTCAAACGCGAACACGGTTCTGTAAAGAAAACAACCAAGTAGGGTTGCCAACTATGAAAAGTCTTAATAAAGGACATAGATTACCGTCATCATTTATTTTGTACCCTGCAGAAAAGAACAATACAAAACAATGAACTACGAATTATATACAAGCTAAAATGATATATTAAAAAATCTTCATGTATTTTTCATTCAATGTTTATTTAACATTGACCCAATCAAGCTGCATTCTGTGAACAGTTTAGTGCTTTGAATTGTGCCAAATTTTTTTGATCAAGAAGGTTAAACATATTAAAATTAAGTTTGTCTTTTAGCTTCAAATGCTCTACAATTTTTACAAGTGTCTGATATTTTGGAAAAAGATTATCCAAAAGAGATTACTTTCCAAATGTTGAATTTTCATCAAAGTCAAATCTTTTTTCCAAATACGTTATGGCAGAGTTGAGAAATAATCTAAAATCTTAGAGACAAATTATTTTAAAATATAGGTAAAATTCTAGTTATATTCTAGTTATTGAACTAGAATTCACTTAAATCTTGGAGTGTTGCCACTTGTCATCTTCGGAAAATTAATGCAAAATATTTGAAATTGTTAATAAAATTGGTATTTCTTTGGCTATTTGAGCCGTGCCGAAGCGAAATTAAAAAGGAATAATTAAAAGCTTGCAAATACATGAACGGAGGCGATTTAAGAATGAAACAATATCACGCACAGTACTATAACTATCGGGCAAAACGACGTTGGAAAAAATAAAGGACAATTATCATCTTAAAAAGGACAAGGACAAAAATCTCAAATAAAGGATTGTCCTTTGAAATAAAGGGCGGTTGGCAACCCTACAACCAAGTCTCCTAGCTAGACTATTCAAAAGGGAATGTTTGCTTCTAGTTTATTGCGATTGCATACACGGATTTTGTATATTTATATATATATATTTAACAAATTCCAAACGATCTTAAGTATTGAAAAAAAATGAATTATTCCAAATGCAAGGAAGTTAGATTCGGTCTGTTTCTGTCAATGACCTAACGGTAACTTAATGAATACTGGCTATGTGATTTTTAGATGTTTTTCAGTATTGTTAGCGCGTTGGTCCGCTCTGCAGTTATTTAGTAAATGTTTTGTAATATCTTAGATATAATTTAGTAAATGAAAGGCCGGTACATAATCTCATTGGTCACAAATAGGTTGAAATAAAAAAGTTATCCGCGATAGTCATTTAGCATTTTCGCTGTATTTTCTTCATACGGTATATTATATTGTTTCAACCTGCTTGCCAGAAATTTTTAGATATTATCGCATATACGACATACACCAAAGTGCTCTTTTCATTTTCCTACAACTCTTGTCTCAAGTCGATCTACCTGAAAGCTTATTCTTCTTATCTTCAGTGTTAATTCTGGATGGTGACAATAAGTAAACAGAAATGATCACAACCATAGATTCGCGTTATGCATTGGGAAGTCCAACAATTTTAGCCGTCAAGTTTGGTTTACTGTGAAGTGAACTCTCACCCGTTTACAGTCAGTGAAATACCAGACAAAATATTATATGCTTCGAGATTCCGCTTTTTGGAATTCAATACCTCATAGTTATTTCTTAACCAAATAAACACGAACTGCTTCAAGCCTCGCGTCAGTTGATATTTACTAGTTCGCATTACCATTATTCTCTATACATAGTGTCAGTATTTCTTGGTATATTAGTAATCGTCGGTAGCTTCACTTTGAGTTTTCGTGACATCGAGCAAATTTACAATATATATAAACTCTCAGTGTTATGGTCGTTTTATTTTATCAGCATTAAATATAGGTTATCACTTACTAAATCGCGATTGCTGTTATTGACATTCTTTGTGCCAATTTCCTTTCAACCCAATGGTACAGTTATTGAATTTATTTACGCATGTTTCAAGTCATGCTCAGCTGTGAAAAATGTCACAAGCGTAGGTGCTATACGTTGGTACTTTTTTGGTATTTAAATTATCATCATTACTGTACCATTCCTTGTTTACCAAGTCGGACCAATATGACGTCATAATGAATATAAACACTGTTTTAATGACTTATAATTTGATTGCAGATAAAAACCGATACAGGCGATTTCCTGCTCGTCCATCTATGTATGCTGACCAACGTAGAATGTAGATTTATATAACGGTGTTTCAATTTATTGATGGAAGAGAAGATTATGACTACTAAGATTTGTAGAATAATAATGACATACGTAAGTTTTTGAGACATACGATATCTTAGACAATAACCTTGTTTGAAGAATCTTCTTATTCACATTAGAAGGAAATCATATATTAACGTCATGATTCGTTTAAAATCAAATTATTGACTAAAAATACTCATGTCTGTAGCTTTTAGATACTGGTATTTTTCCGAATGCATTACTTTCCAATTTGAAGTAGTCCCGAAATCTAGTCACAACATAAGAATTATTTTTGATTTTATTTTCCGTATAATCAGTAATCTTCTGTCACGAATGTCACGAATTAAACAAGGAAGTCGATACTCGGGGAATGGTTCATTGATTTTGGATGTTGTATAATTATAGAGTTATTAATCATTTAGTGATGGGACACGCGGTGTCGCTATTGGGTCAGACCGATGAATCCACGTCGCCAGATCAATAAGTCGGCGGTCTCCGATCGTTATCTAGTTGATGTTTTGATTGCGACGTTAGAATTTACATATTTCTTCTGGAGGAGAGGAACGGCCCACCGTCCGGTTTCCAGTCTATGTCGGGTATGAAATTAGTTAGCCAGTTATTTGTTTTTCGAAGCATAGACTGAAGCATGAAGCTGTTTAATAACTAATTTCTAATCCCCGTCGTTGCAATAAAAACAACGAGTCTAAGAATTATAGCCCCAAAGAGGATTTTCTCAAATCTGATGCAAACTAGATGAATCTAGGCCGAATTCGTATAGGATACTCTATGTGCCGACAATGTTTGACAACGATTTCAAGTACAAGTCAAGTGTCTAACACCATTCGAGTCCAGGACAAAAATTACTGTTCTCTTCGCCAATTATATGGTCGGTAACAGCTTCATGCATCTGAACCAACAAATAACTACCATAGTTAACTATTCTCATACGAAATTAGACTCAACCGGCTGATACGCGGTCGGCTTAACACGATTATTACAAGAATAGACATGAATGTCAAAATACACTGCGTTTTCTCCAAATCCCCAGAAATAACAGACTAATCGATCGGATACATTTAAATGTATTATGATTCAAAAATCAGTACTCCTGAAGTATGTGTACCAGGTTAGGTTTAAGCCATAATTTTATTCCGACTTTCCTTCATTTTAGTTCTATTATGAGTTCGGGGACTGTCCGTGTTAGCCAAGTGAATATCCCCCTGCACTTAGGTTCCAGCCCCTTTACACAACTTGAAAGGCGCAGTTCTTACCACTTCATGGCAGCTCCTGCCACGAAAGTCTCTTGCCATGGCTAATTGGCTATTAGCAAACCGTGGCACGTGTGTATATACCTCGGCGATGGCAAAAAGTACTGCCGTTACCGCGGCAGATTTGCCATGGTTTCAAGGCAGCTTCGGAAAATGGTTTCGGTACGTGGTATGACCATGAATGTTGCGTGAATGAAAACCATGAATGGGTTTTTTGTTCTATGGATGACTGGATGATGGTAGGTGAGTACTGATGTGCCTGATTAGATTTAGTGCATTTCGACTTTGGTAATTCCAGTTACAGAGTTGTAAGATTTGTGAGCTGTTATCCATGCAAGACTCTGTGGTTTATAGAATTTTTCGGACTGTCTGATAGCTGGATAGTCTGCCAGTACGGTACGGGCACGGTAAAGCAATCATTGAACTCTAATGGTAGGTGAATTGCTAGGTCTCTGTTAATTTAAATGAAATTTTTCTGAGAAATATTCTACGCAAATGCAATTACAAAATGTTTTAATATATGACGTCTAAGCAAATATAGCATATTCTGTATTGTATTGCTCTTTAAACAAGAAATTCTTCTACTGTTGTGAACAAAGTTTCATAGTTTCAGATTACAGATCCATCTCAAGGGAGTGTCACTATTTACGATCCTATTGGCCATCATGCATGAAGAGACTTATGCTGATACTCTGATGGAGAATTGGAGATTTGTGGTGATCTGCTTGACTAAATAATTATTGGCTTGTTTTATCGGATTTAATTAGTCTTTATTAGCTTGAGTATTTTAGAAGTAAACAACAGCCCGAAAGTTTATTACATTCGCATATTTTTTGTGTATTTCTGTATTTATTTATGGCCCAAGCCTTGTTAAACAAAGTTTTTTTTTGTGAATGCATGTTGGTGAGCGGGCACATAATACTCATATTGTTATAAACTTTTGCTCGATCTCCAGAGTTCTCCATTTTTTATTACTTATCGATCTTAAGATCGGTAAGTATGTGGATAAGTATTTGTCTGTCTGTCTGTTTGTCTGTTAGATGAACGCGATATCTCACGAAGGCGAGATTGAATCTGCTTCAAATTTTGCATGTGCATTCATCATATCTCGGACCAGAATTGATCCCGGCTATTGATTTTGAATGAATTATGTCGTATTATTAGCGAGTTATTAATTAATTAGTAATGGGACACGCGGTGTCACTAAAGACACATGAATCGAAACCGCAGTTTCGATCGATAAGTCTTCGGTCTCCCACCGATATTCTTGTTTGTATTGTCAGATTGTGGAGTTTTTAAAATAAACTATCCATCACTCACAGATTTATTTTAAATTATCATGCCCTCATTGAGTCCAATGATAGTACATGAATGTTTTAGTCATGCATTTTAATCTATACTAGTGTTAAAATATCAAGAACAGATTACTGAAACTGTATGAATCGTACGAGTTTTTTGCACTGAGATTGCAAGCTAGGTATGAAGGCTCATATTAGCAAGAATATACTGTTTTTAGAAAACTTTGAAAAAAGGATAAGGATTTAAAAATGAAATTTGATTGCTGTGTGAAATTGTTCTTATGTGTTGTGGGTCTAATCATGGCTGTTCTTTTTTACGCTTTCCGCCAGGCAAGTTTTGTGACTGGAAGGCTTTGAGGGCTCATTACGATAGATCTTTAAATTTTCATTTATATTTGTGAGTAAACTGCGTGCTTTGATAATATACTACTAGTAGTATATATTGATACCACAACCATTCAACTTGAACTTTATTTTTAAATCATCTCATTGGTGCAAATCTATAGAAATATGGGTTGTTTTACATTCTAGAATGCCGGAGCAATCTTAACAGGATGTACAACAAACTTTGAACATTCAACAGGCATCTGTCAAATTTCCAGAATCCATTTTGAAAAGTTTCTATTGGAAGCCACAGGTGCATTATTATTTTATTAACTAGGTCAAAGCATAAGTCCTTTTTATTCAAGCGTGGAGAGCAGTGCTGGAGGTCAAGTAACAACTGTCGCCCCAACAGCCATACATAAATCTATGCGGTCACGGATATGTTGGTAACACACAGCAATAATTTAATGATAGTCAGAACTGTCTTTTGAACATGGCTAAGTAGGTTAAAACTCAGAAGCGGAGCCTACAGATATAATTTGATGATATTGAGAAATTTTCTTTGCCATAAAAAGGATGTTGAGTATCAGCTTGAGGTCACTACTCATCGCGTATGCAAGAAAATTTTACTCATTTTTCCGGTTGGTTAGAATCTGAGGGCGATGAATGTGATGGGTGTAAAAGATGGTGCCACAAATATTACACTGATTTTGCTTGTAGCGGGGAGTTTTTCTGTGACCACTGCACATAAAACTTGAGTTCTTGTGTAATTTTCTTTAATAAAATTTAATAACATGCACATTGTCACCCTTTTTTGAAATTTGATTTGCCTGTAAAAATTATAGAAATATTTGATAATTGTCTTAACAAAAAGTTGACATGTGGTGAAGTTTCATATTTAAGTATATATGGTAGCTTTGTCATAAAGGATTCTCAGTGTCCACGATGGAGATAGTGTGCAAGAAGCTTGGGAATATGTGGGTAGCGCTTATTGCGTTGTAGGCGCCAACTGTAGAGCAGTGGTTCTCAACTTGTGGTACCACTTCAAAAGATATGCGAGCATCTTTAAATTATTGCAACAACAAATTTTTAGGTTTGGTAATTTATGGGAGCAACACTATCTCTCTTAATTTTTTTTATATTGCATGCAATCCATTCCTCGTTTTTACGGATTGCCCTAACCTGCCACTACACACCTAAAACGAAAGAGACTGGCATGTTTTTATATCAAGTCAAAAGTTGTCTGTCTGCATTGGGAAATCAGAAACGAAGAGAGCAAATAATATGTTGTTACTGCATATATTTAATGCATTGTAACTTTGCCACTGGTTATAATTTGTCCCTGAAAAAATGGATGTAGTGCCACATTATAAAATACTTCCATAGCCCGTTTTCAGTGTCATTGTTCCCCATCCGAAAAGCGGCTTTTTCAGTGGTACATGGAAAGAAAAAAAACAATCAAGTGGCACCGGTACGCAGTATGTAAAAAGTTGAGAACTAACGTTACTACTATAGAGCAGGGGTCCGCAACTACTTTTTAGCACAACCCAAAATTTTTTTTCTTAACTGCTCGCGACCCAAGCATTTGGTAAGCAATAAGCATGTAACTAGTTATCGATTTTAAGACTATTGTCGACACTAGCATTTTTCTTGCACAAAATTATATGAAACTTATCACATAAAACTGGGAATAATAGTGTTTATTATGACTAATGCAAATTATAAGCTTTGTGTATAATACACAACATATCAAATCGAGGTTTAATTTGGGAGACGGCAACTCGAAGATATTTTTCTACCTCTAGCCTTGATCTGTAATTGTATTTTATGTATGAAAACGCTAATAAGTGGAGAAAAATGTATTGGTTTTTAATGAATTTTGGATGCTTTGCTGTAAGATGGCATTTCAATATCGCTGATTTCAAGATTTTGTGGGTAAGAACATGAGGAACGTTTGATCGTTGGAACAAACAACACATTGAGGACATGAATTATCATTTTTAGGAATTCACGTGAAACCAATCTTTATACATTATTAGATGTTCTTCCGCTTAAATGTATGATTTGAGTGATGTATTTCTATCCGATGAGGGCCTAGAGATGAGTCTTTTGTCGGGCGTTGATCCCCACTGCTTGGAGTCACGAAAATGTTTGAAGGGGTATACGGTGTTCGGTTGTCACTTATTTCTCCGTTGTATCTTCCGCTGGCGGCTTTTTTGGATATTCTCCAGTAAGCAGTTTGCTACCTTTAAAATCTTCAACCTTGCTAAATTTGATATTTAATCAAGAATGCCTTACAATAACAAATGCAACAGCACCCTAAATCAGAATAGACAAATCTTATCATTTGTCTTTATCAAGCAATTCGACACATATACTGCCAACCTCGCATTGCTGCAAATCAATACAATTGTCTACGCCAGAGGTTCTCAAACTTTTGGTTTTGCGGAACATGGTTGACAATTATTCACGGAGCCCCACACTGAATTTATGAAGAAGGGAAAAAACATTAGTTATTACCTATTATTGTCCTTGGGTAAATTAAAATTACTCTACTCAATTAAAATACTAAACCTCCTCAAGGGGGTTTATACAGCTAGAAAAAAATCTAAATTTCACAGTTGAATTCTATATATACTTGGGCTGTAAATTTGACCATTGACAAACATGTTAACTAAGTAGTGTTGAAATGTGTCAATCAGGCGGTAGTTTGAATATGGTATCTATCTGTTGTATAGGTCTATAAGTGCTCCGTACGTAGCCTCAGGGCTCCGTTAAACCCACTCATGGGCTTCGCGAGGTATTCGTTCACTTAAAAAACTGACTTGGTTAATTTTGTATCTGTGAAGAAGCATTAACGTCACTAATAAAATTTGACAACAGTGGTGTCGAAATGTGGTAGTGATTCAAATATAAAATTATCTATAACCAAGGGCGCAGCATCCAAGGTTTTCTAAAAGGAGGGGGGGGGGGCGTAAGATATTCAATCCATGGCCGACCCAATAATTTAAAATGTCTTGTAATATCAATTCAGTTGTGTTCATCGTTGATCGCCTTTGGGTTGACTAATATACTACGGCAACCATGAAATACGGCAACCATGAAAACCGTCTACTAGCAATGAATGGATTGAAATCGTATTTTAAGTTGCTCTTTCAGCACTTAGGATTATCGCAATGTTTCGTTGTTAAAGGAGAGTTTGCAGTTATGAAGTTGATACCTTTAATTCGATGGGACAAATATCGGCCGACACGGTAAAATGATCCAACTTTCATTGAAGGGTTTACCCCAGGGGTCGGCAAACTACGGCTCGTGACGCTTCACTGAATTATATTAACAAAACAGCTTTATTGACGATTAAGTTTTTTACGTGACAAAATTTTATTTGAGAAACTAAATTATATTGTAACCTAACAATCACTCGTTTAATGAGCCTATAATTGATTATAATTAGTCAAATGGACGCAATAGAACGTAACAAAGTTGATGCTGAGCGCAAATGGTTTAATGACGCTGAAAATATTCAAATGATCAGATCTTTCGACTCCCGACGTAAACATACGTTTCCCCCCGCCTACAAAGCCTGCAACCAGAGTCAGTATTGAAGACGTGCCCGACGAAACGCGACGCCAATTAGTCTGGGATGCCATAATAAAGACTAATTGCGGAAACTGCGCAACATTAGTAAACAATATCAACGAGGAACGTCCCTTTACAACGGATACATTGCGGCCTGGATCTCAGAATTCGATCAGACCAGATTTCCGCCCTTCCTTAGCATAAACGGAGCGCGCTTTAAGACCTATTTGCCCTCGTAGCTTTTCACACCAACATGCGTGAACTGTCTAGAAAAGGGTCATACCCAACAAAGTTGTGCTGCCGTTAAAAAAATGCCGTCTGTGTCTTAAGGATGGACACATTAAATCAAATTGCCCTGAAAACATTCAAGGGAAACAGGAAGCCCTCACATCATGGCTAATATACAACGTGGTAACTAAACCGAAAAGTTCCCAAAACATACCCCAAAATCTTAACATAGAAACCAAAGAAACAAAACATCAGTAACCACGGCCACAACTAGAACAGTCACACCAGTAATTAACCTTTCCCAAGATAGTTCCCCCTCTGAAACCATCGATGTCGAAAGCAAGGAAACTAAAGATTGGTCCCTTAGTCCAGACAATTACGTATCATCGCAATACCCCACGACACCGCCTCCGGTAGCTTCTCGCAAGCCTAAGCTAAAAACTACGTCAACCATCGGAAACACACCATTTCCCATAAAAAAAAGGAAAGTAGAAGTCAGCACTCCGATACCCCCTAAAGCGATGAACTACACATCACTATGAAAATTAGGTCCTTAAACGTCAACGGACTTATGATCCACCTAGAAGGTCCTAGATGAAACCAAACACACTATCCTAGAGCATAAATCATGAAAGTAACGCTACTTCAAGAAGTACACAAAATTAACCGAGGAAAAGCAGAAAACTGGGCGAGATCATTCGGATACAAAATCCTATTCAACACCATAGAGCACCCCGCGGATCATGAAAGATTTTGAGCTGGAACGGCCTTTATGATCACATCATCAATCGCGGAGAGAAATACTGTATACAAAACAATCACAAGACATCGCGCGTGCAGCTTACAATTCGAGCAATTTGGAAAATATAATAAAATTATAAATATATATGGCTCGAAATTAACGCGACCACCACAACAGAGGACCCCCAGTTGATTAATAACAAAATCTTTGAATTTTACAACGACTTGTGGGGTACCATCTCAACCACAGATTATGATGCGGAAGAGGAATAGCTGCAACTTATGACCAACCCCCCAATTCGTCCAGGTCATAAACAACGTTCTCGTCTTCGGAAAAATGCCAAACAGTTGGAAACTCGCCATGGTTATTTTGATTCACAAAAAAGTCAGCACCGCTAATATAAAAAACTGGAGGCCTGTATCGAATTTGAATTATAAAATACTGGCTAAGATCATCTCAAATCGGCTCCGTCACAAGCTCGCGGCAATAATCCACCCAGCTCAAAAATCCGCAATTCCAAATAGACAAATCTCAGATATTATACCCATAGAAATTTCATTTATATATTATATCCACAGTTTCATACATAGGTGTCGGACCACGAATATGTCAACTGATAAAAGCCTCCTACACGGACATTAGAAGTGTTATAGAAGTAAATGGAGCCTATACCCCCGAAGTACATATCGTAAGAGGAATCCGCCAGGGCTGCCCAATGAGCACGTTACTTTACGCCCTAACGTCGAACCAATCGCAAGAGCTATATCAGGAAACAACTACATCAAAAGCATCAAACTAGGAAGGAAAGAAGAAAAAATCGAACAATTCGCCGATGATACCAGCCTAATAACTACCACGATCTACTCATTAGACCTTGTATTTAAAGAGTTTAGAAATTTCCACTTGGCAACCGGCCAACCTCTAAATACGGAAAAATCACAAATATTGTGTGTAAACGACGAGGCGGAGAGACGCCTAAATACCAAAAGGTACAAACGTTTAGGACTCTTTAGGTGAGAGTTCACAGGAAACCAAACTTAAGCGTACCAAGCCCGTCATCTCCGTGCTATTATTGCGTCACAAGGATAGCCGCAGTCAGACGGGATGGGTGGGAGTGAGGCGTGTCCACTTTTGGAGTTGAAGGTAATTATGTCGTAAACGTGAGATAGTGCCACCGCGGAGCCACGTTGGTGACACAGCTACGAAAAACCGGTCGTAATTGCGGGTAGTACTGCAATGCGTAGCATACG